CCCCCCCCCCCCCCCCCCCCCCCCCCTCTACTATCGGAGTTTTCTAAGGCTGGCTCGTAGTAGAATCCGCAACGAACACTACCTACCTTAGGTACTGTCTCTCGATTACTAGTCAGCGAGCGACTAACTGAGTATATATACCGATAAGGAGGAGCAAATATCTCTTGTGTTCAGCATTGCTAGATAGGATACAGTCGTAGTAGGCAGTCTTTCAAGAAGATAAAGTCATCGTCGCTAGGTAGAATAAAATATAGGCACCTAAAGGGTCCGAAGGGGAAGACGACATGTCGCAAAAAAGTGTAAGATACATCTATCGCTTCTGAATAAAATAGTGCCCGCTAGTGGCGTCCGCGTAGTCTCTAATAAGTCTTCCAGAGGTGTAACCCAGGCTCCAGCGGACAAAAACGTGTTATTATTCGGTCTTGTTTTCGGTATCAAGAAGGGAAAAAAAGATCTCGACTCGAGTTCTAGTTTTGTCCGCGTGACTCGGAGACAGTCGGGACTCTACCTCCTAGAAGAACAAGAACCAAAAAGAAAACAACCGGCGTGCTGGGCCTATTACAATACCTCCCTATAAGACATGACTACTGGTAGATGTATAGGTACCTCCCTACATAAATCCAGTACATAGCCGATAAGAGGTCGTCAACCGTCAAGTGTGAAAAGCCAAAGCCCATTTTCATCAAAAAATCACACAATCGGCTCAAGACGGGTATACGGCAAGTAAGACTCTTGTCTCGAGCCCCCCGCCCACCCCGGCCGGAGGGAGGGCATCACGCCGAGACGGAATTTCTAGCATCATCTGCAGTGCAACAGCATGTCATAAAAAAACGTGCCACACGGGCGCTAGAAGGGAGGGAGGGGGAGAGTGGGATTGGTTCACAAAAGTGAATCATGCGTAGGCTGCAGGGGGGCGCCTAATAGGCTTTCAAGGGCTTTTGCTGGACTATCGGGATGGAAAAGTCCAGATCGACCGGTTTGTGGCGCTAGGGCTTGGCTGGGCTTTTGTCAGGTTTGCATGTCGTGTTTTCTTTTCTGTGAGCTATATGGATGTTTTGATGAGGTGGTGGTGGTGGTGGAAGAGCAGGGAAAGGAATAGGAGGGATAGGGATGGTGGAGGAGGAGGAAGGGAAAGGAGAAAGAGAAAGAAGAGTGAGTAGAATGGGGCGGTTATCGATAAGGATAAACGGCAACGGGCAGAGCAGTCCGTCATGGCTCGGGCACAGACTAGACTACCTCCGGAGCTAGTGTTGTGTAGGAAGTAGTGACAGTGGGAAGTGGAGGTCTCAGGCCCGCCAAGCGCGGTAGGAGGGGAGGTACCTTCATGGCTCATGCACACTCGGCGCTTCCACGTCTAGTCTAGGCCAAGCGCTACAGCTGTAAAGGACTGTAAGTAGCAGGTGGTACCTCCGTAGCTACTCAACCGGCCTCAGCCTCATCAGCCTTACAGGGCCACCACGGCCACACTAGAACGAGCACATGAACATGGCCCCGTCGATCGCCTACTGCTAACTAGATCTTGTTCCCTGATTGCTTGTCTTCTCATTACCTTTCCCAATGCTTCCAAGCCGACATCACTAACCGTTACCACCACCACCACCACCACCAACACCACCACTATCACCACCACCACCACCACCGCCATCACCACCACCATCTGCTCCCGTCTGAGACCACACGCCTCCTCCGCGGCATTGGCTTCCACACTGTCTCACTCCCCAACCAAACCTGCATTAGCACCATCTTCGCTGCATCCCCCCCTCCCCCCATCCTGGTCATCGTCTATCGAAGATCCATACACATACCTGGACTTCGATCGCCTCACCAAATCCTCTTCTGGACTGACCACCTCTCAACTACCACCTGATCGAAAGAAGAAAAAAAAGGAGTGAACACACTCAACACAAACATGTTATTCGACGAGAACTTCACCTTTGAACCTCCCCGATCACCTTCATCGGGCTCGGATACCACCACCACCACCACATCATCCTTCACCACGCGAGACACCTCTCGAGCCGTTTCGCCTTGCACATCATCATCATCAGCAGGATCGGCAGCCTCTCCTGTCCCACGCTTCTCAGTCACCGACCTAGCTGTCGATTTCGCCAGCTCGAGACTCCGACACGAGGCACAAATCTGTTACGATTCCTGCGAAGCCTACGCCAACATGGACGATGATGATGCGAGTTGGGAAATTCCTGGCAGTGACGACAGCAACGACAGTAGCAGCATGACAGAAACACTTTCGAGACCGAGAACCCTCCCGCCGCCGCCGGTGCTACAACGATCTTATTCTCCTTCGAGAAGAATGGCAAGACAGTTGAATACACGCTTGTTATGTTCGACTTCCCATGCTAAAGATATTGCTGCGCTGGTGGGGCAAATGGTGGAGAGGAAAGAGCATTGTAATGTAGTGATGATGAGGAGCGACTCGAGAATGCAGAGATGCGATACCAACATGAACATGAGCAACAATAATGAAGACGAAGGCTACGATAGCGGAACTGGAGGAAGTACCACCACTCGTCTCTCCTCTCGACGCTCTTCTTCCATATTCGCCGTCCAACAACAACAACAGCAACGTCCCCGACTCGTCGATTACAGACGTATGTCGGATTTGAAATTGGCAGCCGGCGGAGGATGTGGAGGAGGAGGAGGAGGAGCACGAGTCTGTAAAACCATCCGACAGAAGAAAAGTATCAAATGTATACGGGTACGGAGTGGTGGGGAGACGGTACAGTGAACGTGTCTCTTTTTTTTTGTCGAGGCATTTTTGCCGTGTCTTGTTGCGTGTGTAGCGTACGTGTTGAATGAATTTAGCGAAGGCGCTGGGGGATGGAGAAACACAGTTACCTTGGTGACGGAGACTCGAGGAATTGGAATTGGGATGAGAGGGTAGACCTTTTGGTTTGCGAAGGATCCATGAGAGAGAGAGAGCATCAGAGAGAATGAAGCTACCTCGTTGGGTCGACAGCACGAGACAAAAGTTGTAAGGTAGCAACCAACGATAGAGATATTCGGAGCCCTGTACGCAGGAGTCTCTTTGTACAGGAGGATTCTTTGCAGCTTCACAGCTGGGATCTGATATTCAATCTTCTTCCATATATCAGTGCTTCTGTGAGTCTGATCTGGTGTGTGTGTGCAATCTGTATGACATGTGTAATTGATCAAGAACCCTAAGGTAGACTACCTCTACCCACCCCATCAAAAGAAAAAAGACAATCTAAATCCTACTCTCCCTCCCCTCCGGTAAATCCACCACAACCTTCCCCCAAGTCTCCCTCCCCCCCAACGCCTCCAACGCCTTAGGAACATCCTCCAACCCCCTATAAACCTTATCCGTAAAATTCGTCGGTCGAATTTTTTCCTTATTTTCCATCAACTTCAACAATTCCCTCCACACCTCCTCTATCCTCTGAGGTTCAAATTTCGCATACGCGCCCCAATGAATCCCCACGACAGAAATATTCTTCAACAAAATTCTATTCGTAGCAATTTTTTCAATCGGTCCTCCTGCGAAACCTACAACGAGTAATCGGCCATTCCATGCGATACATTTCTGAGAAGGGGAAATTAAACCTACAGGATCGAAAACGACATCAACCCCCCTAGGTCTCAATTTCAAAACCTCTTTAGTCCAATCCTCATTCTCACGATAACAAACCCCAAAATCCGCACCAAACCTCTTCGCAATCTCCAATTTCTCCTTCGTCCCCGCCGTCGCAATCACCGTTGCACCCCTCGCTTTCGCGATTTGCACAGCAGCGAGTCCGACTCCACCTGCAGCAGCATGGACTAAAACCCATTCACCAGCTTGCAAGTTCGCGCGAGTAATGAGCGCAGCGTAAGAAGTCGGCATTGTGACGAAGAGACCTGCTGCATCGAGGAAATTCCATCCGGAGGGAAGAGGTTGGATTTGGGATTCTGTGCAGCAGATAAGCTGCGCGTAGCTGCCTTGGGAGGAGCCGAAGACGGGGTCGCCGGGGCGGAATTTTGGGGAAGAGGAAGAGGAAGGGCAGGAGAGGATTATGCCGGAGAATTCTGCTCCGGATGTCCAGGGGAGGGGGGGTTGATGTTGGTATTTTCCGCGGATTTGGAGGAGGTCGAAGAAGTTTGTGGCGCAGGCTTTGATGGCGATGAGGTATTGGTCTGCTGTGGGGATGGGGTCGGGGATGGAGGTGACGCGGAGGGAGAGGGGGCCGGGGACATATTCTTGGATTTGGATGGCCTTCATGATGGTGGAGAGACTGTGTGTGTTTGTCTAGGTGTGTCTGTGTGTGTGTATGGTTAAGAGTAGAGGTAGATGGGATGGGGAGGAGAGATGATGTGAACAAACTTAAGCCTCGGCTGTGTTGAGATAGCTTCAGCTGAGATGCGAGTAGTAGAGGTGGAGAAGAAAGTGGGCACTAACCTCTTCCTACACACATCTACTTTTACACGTCGTTCAATCTGGGTCTGGCTATTAAACATTACATCTATTTACCCATCATTTCGTATTCTCATGAGCCAAGTCTTGCATTCCACAATCATGACTTGTTGGGCAGGCTGTTACTGATTCCTGCAGCCAGGGATCGGTTGAACTCCTGCGGCTGGATCGAGGGACGATCCACCATCAACCATCATGAGAGCATCCTCATCAATCTGTCCGCGCTCATTGTTGACATGCTCATCGAGTGAAAGCTCTTGCAACGGACTTTCAGCGACTTCGTCCACGTCCATAGCATTCCCACCTTCGCCACCTTCATCGTCTTCCGTACGTCCCCCTCCTTGTGCAGCAGAGCCCATCATTCCCCAGGTATCAGAGTGAGTAACTCCCGACTTTTTCTCTTCTTCTCGCTGTCTTTTGGCTGCCAGATACTCATCCAACGCGCCCTTCTTGCCGTCGAGCACTTTCAGCGCCTGACGCCACGAGTTCACCTGCGTTTGGTCCCGTGTGTGGTCTTTGTTGCCCACGAATCGTCCGTTAATCTCATACAAGTCCAGCTGCTCAATCCGAGACTCTGCCCAAAACCACGACTGCCCGTTGTTCTTATCAATCCGTGCATCCTGCTCTCGGCTGTACGCCTTTGCATCTCGCATTGCAGACAGTCCTCGAGAGATGTCTACTGCCTTGTTCTTGACTGCATGCTGTCCAACAATATGAGGTGGCTCCGCGAACCATTTTTGCAAAGATGCCTTGTCGATGCACCGACCAAGCACTCGTATGTAGGGAATTTCCAATCTTTGGCGCTCATTCCGAGGATCCGTGATATGAAACCAATTACCATATTCTCTCAAGACGGATGGGAAGTCGCCTTCATCCGGTCGAGCAGGCGAGGCGGCAATGCCACCGTAGCTGTGCTTCGGATCGAGGGTATAGGCCCTGCCAGCGACATGGAGACACGTTGTGTATGGGTATCCATCATCGTAATCATCGTCGCTCGCTTCCTCAAGCTTGACGAAGCGTAGTCGTATCGAAGTCACCACCAAAACATCCATTATCGTGTCAGGTCGACCCTCAATCTTTTTGGGCTCAAGGCAGACAACATCGCCCATCATGACCAGTTCAGGCCCCAGATACATACCCCGACAAAATAATGTTGCTTCAGGCCAGGATCCAGCGAAGCTGTACTTGCCGATCAGGCTCCAGGAGCTCGTCACTGTGAGGGCATGCCGAATGGTGGGATGCCACTGTGCTTGTGCAGTACCCGCAAGGCATTCTTTGTAGAATGAGAATGGTCGCAGCGCATGGAGCGGGACATACTTGTGTTGGGATGTGAATGGCTTGGACTGGTTTCCAGGCTCGGATAATGGTTCCACTCGGAAACCGGAGTAGACGATACTCTGCGTCTTGGACGTCGGAATCTCCTGCAAATCTTCCTCTGACACGGGCTCGGTGGGAAGTTGTGTAACTACGCCCGCCTCCCAGCGCGGCACGTCACGCCATCCGGCCGAGGAGTACGGGCGCAGGGTAGAGGTGCTCGTATCCCAGCAAAGCTTGTCTTCTGCAGATAGCGTGCGAGTGAAGAGGACGATTTCCCCCACTCGTGGAGTGAATGCTGGCTGCTGTTGCCACTCCTCTAAAGCCCCTTGGAGCAATTGATTACCAACTCTCCAATCAGGCGAGAGATAGTCAATCACATCCTCATAGACATTCCCTTCAGGTCCGGCAGCCTTTACTATGTCCAGCAGGAGTCGGTAGTAGTCTGGTATGCCTTCTGAATCAAGTTGCTGAAACCGCTTAGGAGCATGCGAGTCTGAGTCCAAGGTCTTTTGCGTCTTGCGAGACCTCGGGAAGGTGGGAGCTGTTGTCGTAGCTGGAGCGGGCCGATACTTTCGACCTCCTGTACACAAGATACAATGACATCCGTCGGGTCCTCCGTGTAGTATCAAATGCTGGAAGTGTGGCCAAGCTTCATTTATCGACCGAAAATCTTTGCCCGAGGGATGCCCTGCTAAGTCTGCGCAGATACGTCAGTAGCCGTAGAAAGACTTCGTGTTGATGGAGTGACTGTACATCGATCGACGTGTGTGGTGGTTCCCCGTCGCTTTTCCCAGCCCGAGTATCCAGTCGGCATCTGGTCCAACTTGTAAACGACTCCAGGTTGGAGACGGTTCTGGTCCTTCATCCACAACTGGGCCAGGCGTTCCTGGTAGTAGGCGTCATTTTGGACACGCCCTACGCCTTTGTCGCTGGCATTGGTGCCGTCGGAGTTCGGCCACACTGGGATTGTGATCACATTGCCGGCCATCTTAGTTCTTCGCAGACGGCCGGGAGCTTAGTAAGTGGTGAGGTGAGGTGAGGGGTGGTGAGAAATGCGATGGCCAGGCAGTGTGAAGAGCAGCGGAGAAGTTGGCTGGCGTGCAAGCAACTAGGTTGTTGATGTGGAAGTTGAATGTGGGTAGTTCCGTGCGGCAATTCACTGTGGGAGGTTTCGAGTGCAGCTGTTAGCCTGTCACGTCTCGAAGGACAGGACATGCATACCTGGAACTCGAACTTTGCCAAATCACCAGCAATCCATGCACAACATGTATCACAGTAGTGAAGAGAGAAAGAGTTACCAGTTGGATAGGTATCGATGGCCTGCGTGCCTGAGGTGCGTGAACAGGTGGTGGTTTGTTGTGATTTGTTGTGAAATTCAGGTATTGTCAATTGATAAATACAAAATAATAAAAGCAGTCGCGCAGTCTGCAGACAAGACGCGATTGGCGGGACGACGGGAGGAGGCGGGCTCTGATCCCTGCCTGTTCCTGTCGAATTTCTTGCTTTGCGTATCTCCGTGGGAATTCACTCCCGTCCTACCTCCTACTGTATACCTTAATTATTTTACCTTATAGTGCACGAGCATCACCACCACCACAATACACACTACGGGCATCATGCTCCCGTCCCTATCACATTCGGAGATGGCTGACCGTTTCAGTAAAAAGTCTTCTTCTTGTAGCCAGCTCACCCAACGTCGTTTCAACGGCCTTCCATATCATCCTCCCCCTTCCTCCCTCCCACAATAACAACAAATCCACCCTGCAGCAGTAGGAGGGTAGCGTGCGGACATCCATATACCAAAGCTGCAAGACGCAAGCCACTGCCGCAAGCTATTGACTTCTTCCAAAGCTTATTGCACATCTTTAAAGAGCCCGCTCTCGTCCCCTCCAGCCGCCTCCCGTGCGAACTTCACCTTCTCCGACATGGGCGACGTCGGTCTCACACCCTCTCTTAACCCAGCGCGTCAGCCTACGAGTAGAGGTGCTGCTTCCAGACCGACCTCACCACCACTGCGGAGCATCGACGAAGACGCCACTTTTTCCGCGCCGCCGATACCTGCTAAGAGCGTACTGCGCCAAACCGTTTCAGATCAATTTCTGCCGCACTTTATACCGCCTTCTGCGCCATCAGCGAACTACGAGTATAAGAACAGCAATGACACTGGAAGGTCAGCTCCGCCAGCGTATGAATGGCGAGCGCAGCCGCTACTAGTAGATGAGGTGCATAATGGGCCTGTGGAGGGCGAGAAGCTCGCGGCATACAGGCGCGCAGATGGCTACAAGCGGAAGCAGCACTGTATCAGCTGGCGGCGGTCAACACTGATCATCGCTGCGGTCGTGGTGCTGCTCTTCATTGGACTCATCGTCGGCCTAGCAGTAGGCTTGACCGTCGGACGGAAAGGATCCAATGGCAAAGGTGGAGGTTTAGCAGGCCTCTCGGAAACTAGCTCCCCGCAACCATTCCCGCTCGGCCAATTCAGCGTGATCACTGCACTTCGAACGGTGAATTCCAGTTGCACGTCCAATGCCGAAACCTGGAATTGCTATCCCTACCAGATCTACGACGCGGCGAGCCCAGACAGCGGCAAGCTAACATTCAACTGGGTCATTGCCAATTCCAGCTCGTCCTATGCAACAATTGACTCGGGCACCACATCTGATGAAGGCGAACCTGCAAATCTCACCATCAGTGCCACCGGCAATCCGTTCAGCGTCACCTTCAACAACACGCCACTGACATATATATCTCCGGCGTCCAACACCAGCTCCGCTCGATACACTTTCAAGTTCGATATGAGCAAGGCCTTCAATCCACCAGTGTCGCTAGCGAGCAACAATGTAGCCACACAGTGCTTCTACAACCAAACGACATTTACTGGCACTCTGTATCTCTCTGCGACACGCACTTATCCGGCACCGAACAGCTCAGATGACGCTTTGCAGTGGCCCTATGCAATAGACATCCAGCAGAGCTCACCAGGCGGTGCAGACGTTCCCGCGTGTTACGAGTATATCCAGGGCCAAGTGGGAGCTAGGATCACGACAGGTCTGATACCTCAGCCGACTGACACGCAATGTTTGTGCGATTATCGTAATTACTGATGATCGGCCATTACTGTCCATATAATGATTTGATGGCCGATGACATGACGACACCCTGCTGCTGTTTAGCGGTGCCATACGACTTATGCATAATAATATACGCAGCATAGATAGATATCCAGATAAAAGTGCAATGTTTAATGAACCGACACGTCACTCGATGCTGTCTAGACTACCACATGAGACGATGTAATCGCTACAACCTATGCAAGCGAGCAGTCCCCTTTGCCAAAGCCGCTAAAATATAATACCTGGTGACGCTGATGTCTGCTGAGGTGACGAGAACCTAGCTCTATCACAAAGCAAAAAATTGCTCCCTGCAAAAGAGGAATACTTGTGCGGCGTGCCTAGCGAGGTCCGTACAGTCAGTCAGTACATGTCAGGTAGTTTAGTACCTACATGTACCTTACAGTAAGTCCCTACCTTACCCTCCCAGTATCTCAACAAAAACCTCTAGTATTTCCTCAAGTTTACTGTACCATCGAAGGTAGAGGCAGGTACAGATACCTAGGTAAGAAGGTATAGGCTATATCAAGTACCTAGGGACCTGGACATTCACATGTCAAACCTCCTCTTTTCACATGCAAACCACATGCAAACTACTAATAAGGTACCCACCTCCAAGCTCAGGTAAGCTAGGTGATATGAGGGGGAGCTACCTCCTACTAGTAGGTAGCTATGCAGCGTCAGCGTCAGCGTCAGCAATCAGCATCGGCGTCAGCAATCATTAGCCATTCATTTTGCATGTGCTCTCGTTTACATGTACATGTCAAGTACCTGTATGTACAGTAGGTGCTCGGTAGACAAGAAGAACAAAAGAGCCCGAGAATTTCGTGCTACATAAAACAAAAAAAAAAACAAAAACAAAAACAAAGGTTCCCACGGAGGCACACGGAACTTGGAGGCATACGGAGGTACGGAGTCCACGGAAGGAGAAATGAACCGATTTCTCCGTCCGTAACCCGTTTTTTGTCACATTGTCAGACTTGTCAGCCTGCATCTAGACTGCAGTGAAAAGACGTGGATCTTTGGATTTTATTTTTCCCTTTCGGTTGAGTCAGGCTGTGATTGATCTGACTTGACCCATGTTGTTGTTGAGAGGGTACATGTAAGGTACCTATATATCATACATCGGGCACACATCATACATGTAAGGTACAGGTAGGCATCGGATGTTTGAGGGAAGAGGGGGGAGGGGAGGGGAGGGGATGGGATGGGATGGGGACATAAATATAGATAGATACCTACGGCACCTTTGGTAGATAATGTAGGTACGAGGGATGGTCGCAGAGGAACACGAGGAGGGACCGAGTCATTTGTGCATAGCTACATGTACCTGATGTTGTAATTGTTCTCGCTTGCTCTTTCCTACGTACATCTCTACTTCGAAGCCATACCTATCGTGTGGTGTACGGTACATACCCAGCAGTCGACGTTCATCAGCAGCACCATTGAGCAATACCAGCAAGCAAAACAGCTACATACATATCCACGACAGAACTATGACGACGACGACGATGACGACAACGACAACGACGACGACACTCACGTGTGCCAGAGAAGACTCTGGTAGTGCATTGATACCAAAGCTGGCACACAAATCGGTACACCCAGAAGCGCGAGAGGAGAACCCAACATGGCCGGAACGACCGCCCAGAATTGGTTTTGCCCAGTTGCTGCCGCCCCTGATCATTGCCTGGATCAGCAATTGCAATAAGACTGGCGTTGATATTCTGCCCACTGCCATTGCAAGAATTACTCAGGCGCTGGTTTTGGTCGGCCTGCTCAGTATGTGTGCGGAAGGCAACCCAGCTTCGTGGAGCGGCCGAACGCCCAAGCGACTACCAGTATTCAGCTTCTTAATCGAAACAATCTGTGTGCTCTTGGTGATTGATCTTCTCCGGCTGGATCCTGATGAAGCACATGAACTGGTGAGCACAGCTGGCTGGCGTGATGGGTCCGCGGACTTGTTCGGGAGGTGAAAGGGGGTCTGTCCACATCTGCAACCTTGGTGCTGCACACATGCGTCCCATTGCGTTCTCAAGACCCAGTGGGGGAAGCTGGCTACTGGCCTGAACAGGCTGAACAGGAGTTCAATGCTGTCAGATATAGTGAAGGAGATGGGTGTCCTCATTCAGCCAAGCCCCGTCACTTTCACTTCACTTTCAATCTCCTCTGCGCCTCTTGGATCCAGTGTAGCCGTCTATGTCATATTCGTCATTCACAATGTCCGCGTCGTCGGCAAACTCCATGCCTTCAGCCTGTGCGGTGCTCTTCCTCCTGAACTGTCCAGCTCCGATTGCGACAATCTCGTCTTCGCTGTCAGACTCCCCCATATCCAATAGCACCGGCATGCGGAACTCATCGCCAACCGTGACTGTGCCATCCTTTGCATTCAAGCCTTCTCTTGCGAGCTGTTCCTCATTCACTGTGAGCACATCGACTTCTTCGTCCTCTTGATCTAGCCGTCTCTTTTGGAGGTATGACACGTCGTGCATATCGAACTCGTCTTCCTTCTCGATGTACTCCACGTTTTCCTCGACTTCGACAAAATCGGGCGCGAGTGCTGACCATCTCTGTGGCGTGTTAATTGACCAGAGGTACACTCGTCCACTCTCTACTCCAGTTGCGGCAACGAATGGTCGTGTTGGATGCCACTCAATAGCGCCCAGCTCTTCCTTAGGACCCTCTAAAATCTTCACTAGGGACCCATGGCCACGCTCCCAGATATAAATGTCGTGGTTCATCAGGGTCGAAGCCATGACATAGTCAGCGTTACTGCTGAAAGCGACGTGGTTCCACGATAACCGGTTGACCACATCTTGAAATTTGTGCTCCACCTCCAAGCGTATACTGTCCGGTTGTAGATTGGGGACGGAAAAATCGGGCAGTTTGATGGTCCGGATGATGGTATCGGAAGCATTGACGAGCAGGTCACGACCGGAGCTGCTGAGCCTGACCAGGAGGATGGGCTTGCTGCATAATCTGACGCTATACACAGTCTCGCGCGTCTCCGCGTTGATGACATTGAGCCATCCCTTGGTTGTGCCTGTGATGATGTATTGTCCGTTTGAAGTGAAGGCGGCGACAGTGGTGAAGTGCTTTGCATCTGCCTTCTCGCCGCCTTCCTCGTGGGGTGCGCGCTTCGGCAAATTGGGAAGGGCCATCTGCTTCATCTTCTTACTGTCGGTGAAGTCTGCCAGCACCGGCCTGTACTCATAAAGTGCCGCAACGCACACTTTGTGGTTCGTCGGGTGCAGCTCTGCGATGTAGACGGGCGCGCCCAGGTTCACAGTGCGCACTCTACTGCCATCGGACAAGTCCCAAAGTATGACCTTCCAGTCGATGCTGCTGCTCAGCAGGTAGCGGCCGCTCTTTTCCCACGACAACGACTGCACTGTCCTGCCACCGGTGTGGCCTTTCAATTTGCGCGCGACGCCATTGGTCTCGAGGTCGAAAATGGCAATCGTGCCCTTAGCCGTGCCAGACGCCAGCAGGTCGCCGCGATGCGAGAATCTGATGCACACAGCCTGTCCGGACGACCGCAGTCGCGCGACCAGCACCTCGGGGATGTCCTGGGCGAGCAGCACCGGGTCGGACAGTGGCAGATTCATTGTGCAGGGTGAGGCGGTGCGCGGCGCGCGGTGGTGGTGATGGTGAAGGTGGTGCTGCCTAGAATGAGTCGCCCGTCACAGTATGTGCCTTATGGTTCTGGGTATGGCATGCTGTGAAGTGAGCAGCTTCAGTAGCGAGAAATGGTAAATGGTGAAGACAGGTACGTGGACAGGTAGGTAGGTAGGTAGGTAAGGTAGGAGCATTATTGAAGCGCACGGCTTTGCTTGCGGTGGACTTGCCTCAGAGTCTCTGCTGCAGTTGGCTGCACCCTCGATCAGCGTTTCCACGATCCTACATCCGCCGGCCACAGTATAGTGTTGTAGGCAAGTATTGGGTCGACCACAGAGACTTCCCCCGGCCGGTCCGGGGCACCACAAGTCTGTCGCACAGCTTGAACCACGGTTGCTCGTGAGAATGAGGGAGTCATCGAACAAAGCGACGCGGAATCCCGGCAAGGCGGGAGTAGCCGACCCGTGCTAGGCGGACTTCTGGCGACGCAAGAACGGCGTGTGCTTGTACGGCTTCCATCACCGCGACATCCACCCCCCTCCGCGACAACACCATCGATACTGCCAGGTTCGCGTGCAGAATCGCCATCATCGACTTCGAGCAACACGTGGACGATAATCGCGCGCTTTTTCGGTCGCTGGCGGGCCACGATTGATTCACGAGCGGCACGTCACAGTCTGCGAGACTGCATTCTTACCGAGCGCGCAGCGCAATAATACCATCATCGAGCATCACATCAGTGGTAGAGTCATCATAATAGCGGCGCGACCGAGTGGGTTCGAGTGCGTTAGGCGAGGCGGCGGCCTTCAGTGAGGTTGCGCGTTGTTCGTAGGGGAGAGGTGGCGGACGACATCTTCGAGAGACGAAGAAGAGACGAAGAGCAAGCGATACGCACTAAACGCGCATCACGGGTAAACTCTCGTCTTGAAAAGGCCTGACAAGGTCAATCGGCTGCAAGCTACAAGACACAAACGAGCCGACAAGTCTGTTCCACCACCGCAAACATGTCGACGTTTGCCCACTCCGATGCACCGCTCAAGACGGTGAAGGAGATCCAATTCGGACTCTTCTCGCCGGAAGAGATCAAGAACATGAGCGTGTGTCATATCGAGTATCCAGAGACGATGGATGAACAACGCAACCGGCCGCGAGAGAGAGGCCTGAACGACCCCAAGCTGGGCACCATCGACCGCAGCCAGATGTGTGCTACCTGTGGCGAAAGTCAACAGGAGTGTCCTGGACACTTTGGACACATCGAGCTGGCGGTCCCGGTGTACCACGTGGGTAAGTTGGGCACGAGAAGCCCTACTCGTCAGCCTCTAGATACTGATAATCACGTGACTAGGCTACATCACCAAGATCAAAAAAATTCTCGAGTCTGTGTGCAACAACTGCGGAAAGCTCTTGGAAGATGAAGTAAGTCCTTATCGTTCTGCAAGCACTCGGTAAGCCCTTTCATCTTCGTGCCAGTGCTTACGTGCGTTCTCACAGCGCAATCCTACCTTTGCGCTAGCCATCAAACTTCGCGACCCCAAGCGTCGCTTCGAGGCCGTCACCCGACTTTGCAAGCCCAAGATGGATTGTCAGACAGATGAGCCTAGTGATGAAGACGGCCAATTTGGCGATGATCCCAAGAAACCCAAGCTCGCAGGTCACGGTGGCTGCGGCAACATGCAACCCACTATTCGAAAAGATGGGCTGAAGTTGATAGGGACATGGAAGATGCCGAAGAACGAGGATACCGGCGAAGACAATTCACCGGAGAAGAAGCCAATCACTCCCACTGACGCGCTTAGGGTCTTCAGAAACATCTCGGACGAGGATCTTTATCGCTTAGGCTTGAACGTGGACTACGCACGACCGGAGTGGATGATTCTGACAGTCCTGCCCGTACCACCTCCAGCAGTTCGACCCAGCATTTCTGTCGACGGTACCAGTCAGGGCATGCGTTCAGAAGATGATCTGACCTACAAACTGTCCGACATCATCCGCGCAAATTCGAACGTGCGACGAGCTGAGCAAGAAGGCTCGCCAGCTCACATCACCGAAGAGTTTACCCAACTCCTGCAATACCATGTTGCAACATACATGGACAACGACATCGCCGGTCTGCCAAAGTCTATACAGAAATCTGGCCGCCCACTCAAGGCCATCCGCGCACGTCTGAAGTCCAAGGAGGGGCGTCTCCGAGGAAACCTGATGGGCAAACGCGTAGACTTCTCTGCACGCACAGTCATCACAGGTGACCCAAATCTTGATCTCGACCAGGTTGGTGTTCCTAGGTCAACAGCCAGAGTTCTGACCTTTCCGGAGAGAGTCACGCCGTACAACATCCACAAGCTTTCAGAACTTGTTCGAAATGGCCCATCTGAGCACCCCGGTGCAAAGCACATCATTCGTGAGGACGGCTCAAGAATTGATTTGCGCTATCACAAGCGTGCCGGAGAAATCCAGCTGCAGAATGGATGGATTGTCGAGCGCCACATTGTCGACGGTGATTATATTATTTTCAACCGCCAGCCTTCGCTGCACAAGGAGTCTATGATGGGTCACAGAGTTAAGGTCATGCCTTATTCGACCTTCCGCCTCAATCTTTCGGTCACTTCGCCATACAACGCCGATTTCGATGGAGATGAGATGAACTTACACGTCCCTCAGAGCCACGAGACACGATCAGAAGTCGCCAATTTGTGTGCTGTACCACACAATATCGTGTCTCCACAGAAGAATGGTCCCCTCATGGGTATTGTGCAAGACACCATGGCTGGTATTTACATGATGACAAAGCGCGACACAATGATGGACTATGAACAGGTCATGAACATTATGCTTTGGGTTCCAGGCTGGGATGGCATAGTACCGCAACCCGCAATCTTGAAGCCTGTTCCTCGCTGGACTGGCAAGCAGATCATGTCGATGGGTTTGCCGTCTGGTCTCAACATCATGAAGCTTGGTGATGATGAAGATCACATTTCGCTCGCAGAAGCTGACTCGTCAGTCTTGGTTCAGAACGGCGAGCTCGTATGGGGACGTCTTACCAAAAAGCTTGTGGGTGCTTCTGGTGGAGGTATCGTTCACCTCATCTTCAACGACCGTGGCACCGATGCCACCGTCGAATTCTTCAACGCAGCGCAGCGCATCGTCTGCTATTGGCTATTGCACAACGGATTCAGCGTTGGCATTGGCGATACTATTCCAGACGCGGACATGGTTCTGGCCATCGAGCAGAACATTGTGAAGGAGAAGGCTACCGTGGATGGCTACATGCGCGAAGTGCAGTCGGATGAGATGGAAGCATTGCCGGGTATGACGATTCGTGAGACATTCGAATCACAAACCAAGGCTGCTCTTGACAACGCCCGAAACAATGCTGGTGATGCGGCTTACAAGGGTATGAAGCCTTGCAACAACGTGGGAGTCATGGTCAAGGGTGGTTCCAAGGGCTCAACTACGAACGTCTCGCAGATGACTGCAGCGGTCGGCCAGCAATCTCTTGAAGGCAAACGTCTTCCTTTCGGCTTCAAGGATCGTGTGTTGCCGCACTTTCCCAAGGATGACTACTCGCCCGCATCCAGAGGGTTCGTCGAAAACTCCTACCTGCGCGGGCTCACTCCGCAAGAGTTCTTCTTCCACGCTATGGGTGGTCGTGAAGGGTTGATCGATACTGCTGTCAAGACTGCTGAAACCGGATACATTCAGCGTCGTCTCGTTAAAGCACTCGAGGAAATTATGATCAAGTACGATGGTACTGTCAGAAATTCCCTCGGCGACATCCTGCAATTCGTCTATGGTGAGGATGGTCTCGACGCGACGTTCATCGAGGGTCAAGCTCTATCGATAATCAAGCAGTCACACTCGGCTTTCGACAAGAAGTACAAGATTGATGTGATAAACCCAAGCAGCAAAGACCAGACACTATCATCGAACGTGTTGGAAATGGCTGGTGAACTGCAGGGCGACGTCGAGGTCCAAGAGCTGTTTGACCAGGAGTACGAAGCGATCAAGAATGATCGTATCAAGATCCGACAGGGGTTGGACGACCCATCTGATCAGCGTTTCCTGCCTTTGAACGTTTCCCGTATGATCCAGAACGCCAGAGACAAATTTAAGATCACGGACAACAGTAAGAGCGATCTCGATCCACGCGACGCTATACCGAAGGTTGCGGCATTGCTGGATCGACTCAAGATCATTCGAGGTGATGACGCCCTAACCCGGGAAGCCGATGTGAACGCAACACTGCTGTGCAAGGCACTCTTCAGGTCGAGACTGGCGTTCAAGCGAGTTGTGAATGAAGACAAGCTAAGCAAGCTTGCTTTCGACAACATTCTAGGTGATATCGAGAATCGCTTCTTGCGTGCCTTGGTAAGCCCAGGCGAAATGGTCGGAGTCCTTGCTGCGCAGTCTATTGGAGAACCCGCGACGCAGATGACGCTCAACACCTTCCATTTGGCTGGTGTGACTGCAAAGACAACCACGAAGGGTGTGCCTCGTCTCAAAGAAATTCTCAATGTCGCCGACAACATCAAGACACCCAATATGAGAGTGTTCCAGGAGCCGCATGCCACGACGAAGCAAGAGAGTGCGAAGCTTCTCCGCTCCAAAGTCGAGTTCACCAGCTTGCGAGGCGTAACTGACGCTGCAGAAATTTACTACGATCCAGATGTACAGAGCACCGTCATTGAAGAAGACCGCGATATGGTCGAGTCATACTTCATCATTCCCGAAGAAGGTGAGAATCCAGATGCCCAGAGCAAGTGGATGCTGCGTTTCGTGCTTGGACGTCGACAGCTTCTCGACAAGGGATTGACAGTGACCAACGTTGCGGAGAAGATCCGAGAAACATACCCCAAGGATGTGGCAGTCATTTTCTCTGACGACAACTCTGATGAGATGGTTGTTCGTGTGCGTATGACGAACCAAGCCGATAAAGAAGAAGAGCTGGGTGAGTCGTCTGAAGACGACACTCTCAAGCAGCTGTCAGAGCACATGCTTGACAATGTTGTGCTTCGCGGTGTCCAAGGCGTCCGCCGTGTTTTCGTATCAAAGGATCTCAGCATGATTGAAGAAGCTGACGGCAAGCTCGTCAAGAGCAAGAACGACAAGGCTTGCGAAGAGTGGTACCTCGATACCGACGGCATCAATCTCAAGGATGTACTTGCAGTTGAGGGCGTGGACAGTACTCGCACGACTTGCAACCACTTCCAATCGACCATGAGAGTCTTCGGGATTGAGGCTGTGCGAGCCTCACTCATGCGCGAATTGAAGGACGTGCTCACCAACGATGGTTCGTACGTCAATCATCGACACATGGCCATTCTCTGCGATGTCATGTGTGCCCGTGGCGAGCTCATGGCTGTCACGAGACACGGTATCAACCGTGCAGACACTGGTGCGCTTATGCGTTGTTCCTTCGAAGAAACCGTCGAAATTCTCTTTGAGGCTGCGTCCTCTGGCGAACTTGATGACTGTCGTGGTGTCTCGGAGAACATCATCCTCGGACAACTCGCGCCTAGCGGGACTGGCGAGTTCGACGTGCTGCTTGACAACGAAATGTTGAAGACCGTCCCTCCACAAATGGTGCTACCCGGGCGTGCAGGTGTTGGCGCAGGTGCAATGTCGCCAATGGCAGACGGTGCCATGACGCCTTACGACATGGGCTCTCCAATGTCAGAGAGCGGCTTCACTGGTCCCGACTATGGTGCCTCATTCTCGCCAATCATCAACCCTGGTCAAGACGAGGGCGGTGGTCTTACTGCCTACGGCGGCTTCGATGGTGGCATGAGTCCATACAGAGGCGGAATGAGCCCTGGATATGCGCCTCAGTCGCCTTTCAGCGCTGGCATGTCACCAGCCTCACCGGGTTATGGTGGCGGCTATTCACCAAGCAGCCCGTCCTTCGGTGGTGGATTCTCGCCTCAATCCCCTGGTGCAGCGCTCACGAGCCCTGCCTATCAGATGGGCTCGCCTGCTGGTTATAGTCCAGCCTCGCCGGCGTACAGCCCAACTTCGTAAGTCATATGCTGAATTCAAGACTGTTTGAGAGAAATGCTAACATCTCACTAGCCCTAACTATTCTCCAAGCTCGCCCGCTTGGTCCGGAGGCGGCGGCAGCAAGGTCTCACCTACCAGTCCCAGCTACAGTCCTACCAGCCCAAGCTACAGCCCCACCAGCCCCAGCTACAGCCCAACGAGTCCGAGCTATAGTCCAACGAGTCCGAACTACTCTCCGTCGTCCCCCAACTTTTCGCCATCGAATCAAGCGGGAGGTGCAAAGTACTCGCCAACCTCTCCTCAGTACTCGCCAAAATCGCCTGCCTACAGTCCCACGAGTCCTACCTACAACGGGGGAGGCAGAGCCGCATCTAGCACTTCTCCCGGAAGTCCCAGCTACTCGCCGACGAGTCCTGTCTACAGCCCGACGAGTGAGTCGTGACAGAAGTCATGCCCCATTTAGAAAACATTTACTAACTTATGCTCGCAACCAGGCCCACAGCAGAACGGAACGTCTCCTGGCTCCAACGGTACTAGCCCAACTTCTCCCCAGTACTCACCTACGAGCCCTCAATACTCTCCTGCGTCACCCAAAGACGACGCGTAGGTCACCAGGGCCAACTATTGCATGCACTTTTCAAAGGGTCGCCCGTCAACAGCAGCGCGTCCTCTTAGTTGAGATCACGCAATGCAACAATGGGCCACATGACTCTTGTCTCTTTTTTCGCAACTGTAACACTAGCACATCCAGCGTTTTCGCAGCATACCAGGGCGTTTTGAAAATTTGGACATAAAAGCAGCGATTGAGAAAAAACTTACATCACAAAAGACAGTGTGGGGGGAGCGAGAGCGCTATATGAAGAAGACAGCGCTCAAGATTGACTGGACCCGGAGCGTGCAGGAGACGCTGTTGAGAGTTTTACGCTTTGCGCCTCACTAGAATGATTCCCCAGAGGCTTTTTTTCGCGTGAAGTCTTTGCACTGCGCTGAGTTGGCGAGGCCTTGGGACGTACCTCCTTTTGGAGCTGATACATACGAGAAGACGGGACGCTGCAAGCAGGAGATAGCTTGAGATAATCTCGAAAATGCAATACAGCCACAGCTGCTTGATTGCTAGCAATATCTGTTCATGTTCTGCCTGACACGTGCATGTTCTTTGCCTTGTACTGTATTGTGGACGTGACGGTCGTGATGGTAACTCAAAAGCCGGAATTCTCATGTGACTAAGTATGCAAGCGAGAAATCGTCCTCACCCTCACTCACCATTGATAGGTATAGGCAGTCATCAGTGATCCGCCCCCGCGCCAGGTTTTCACCACGCACATTTGACAAAATCCACCAATATTGAAGAGACTTGTGAAGCCACTGATATTTCGTGCACTCACAAGTTCAGTAACCTTTCTACACCAACCAGCACGAGAGGGGAAGAAGAAATCGAAAAAATCCAAGCAAAAAAAAAGAAAAGAAAAGAAAAGAGGGAAAACCTTCATATAAACCCACCTGCTCATGGCCAACACCGAATTCTCCTACGTCAAAACCTTTGAATCAAACGACGTCTTACCCCCTTCGCAATGGATCGTCATCCGCATCGACGGCCGCGGCTTCAGCAAATTGTGCATCAAATACAATTTTCAAAAACCCAATGATGCGCGTCTCATGCATCTCATGAATTCGGCTGCCGAGCGCGTTTTGCAGGCTTTTCCGGATATGGTTTTGGCGTATGGACAGAGTGATGAGTTTTCGTTTGTGTTGCATGAGGATACGAGGTTGTTTGAGAGGAGGAGTGCGAAATTGAGTTCGAGTGTTGCCACGATGTTTACGGCGGAGTTTTGTATGGGGTGGGTGGATGCGATGGGGGTGGAGGTGGGGGGTGATGGGGTGGATGGAGGGGGAGAGGGAGAGGGAGATGGGGAAGGAAAAGGAAAAGAAAGGATGAAGAAATTAGAGAGACCATGGCCGACATTTGATGGGAGATGTATTTGTTATCCGAAGAAAAAGATTATACGAGATTATTTGGCGTGGAGACAAGCGGATTGTCATATTAATAATTTGTATAATACGACGTTTTGGAACCTGGTGTTGAAAGGTGGGATGAGTGGGACGGAGGCGGAACAGGAGTTGAAGGGAAGTGTGGCGAGTGATAAGAATGAGATTTTGTGGAGTCGGTTTGGGGTGAATTATAATCAGGAATTGGAGGTGTGGAGGAAGGGGACGGTCATGTATAGGGTGTATGATGATGTTGGTGGTGGTGGTGGTGGGGAAGAAGTGACTGCGAGTGGTGACAAGATGAAGAAGATGAAGAAGGGTGTGGATGCAAAGAGCAAAAGTCAATTGGAAAAGGAGAGGAAGAGAAAGATGAAGGCGAAGATTGTGCAGGAACATACTGATATCATCGGCGATGGGTTCTGGGAGAAGAGGCCTTACATCCTCGCAACAAGGGGTGCGGAGTGATAGTCAGACAACGTACAACAGGATGAGGACTGCCTCCATACCCAAAAGAGAAGAGAGAAGGCGAAATGCTGCAACGCAGTGTCGTATCTATACTTTCTCTGCGGTACCGCACGCTATTGTAGTAGGAATCAGCTGTGTATCTCAGGGGTCTCTGCGTCATGTTTTCCCAAAAGGCCACCCAAAATGCCATGTATGCAATGGGAAAAATCTAAACATTCATCACCATGTCTTCGCCTCAAGTGCACCTCGAACGCCATCATGAAGCATAAATCAACGAAACGTCCCGCTGCCATCATGACGAGACCACAGTCTTCGAACTCAATGCTTCCAGAAAGCCGGGGAAGTCCTCCTTCTTCACTTCCACCACGCTATGCTCAAAGGAGTCAATCCGTACTCGCGCCGCAGTCTGCTCAACCACCTCTTGGAAAGCCTGCCCAAAGCGATTTGTTGGCCCTGTCCTCTTCCGTCTCGCAGCAGTCTCGTCATCGTCGTCAGAGTCAGCATCGGAATCCGAGTCGTCGTCTTCAGTCTCTACCTCGCTTTCTGAATCCTCATCGTCGTCCGAGTCAAGCCCGTTGGCAGCATTGCGTTCTCGTCTCAAGCGTCGACGCTCTTCTCGCTTTCGTGCAGCCACCGCTCGCTTTGCGGCGCGATCGGCCTCCTTGCGCTTCTTCTTCTCCTCGCGTTCTTTGATTTCAGCCTTGGATCGGATCTTCTTGCCATTACCATTCCAGCCTGTTCCACCGCCAATGCCGACCACGACATAGACCGCTCGATTCTCGTCGAGAGCGCCAAGCACAAGTGCCTGGTCCTTGCGCTTACCTGCCTCCTTCCCAGACTCGGCTTCAAGGACGGCCACAGCTTCGCCGACCCAGCTCGCCAGTCTGACGAGTGCACCAGGGTGGATGAAGACTTGTAAGTCCGAACCTTCTCGGACCACCCCTATGCGGAACGATCGTAGATGTCGGAGGACTTTCTTGCTGATGAGGTATGATCCGACACGAAGAATAGCTCGATACAGGTCTTGCGCAGCAGGGATGCTCCTCTGCAGAGTCTTGAGACCGCTGCTGTGAGGTTCCAAAGCATCGTAGGCGCGATAAAAACGCTGAGTGACGTAGTCTGGTACATCTGCGGAACTATCATGCAAGGCTGAATCCATACCGTCGTCCGAACTATGCGGAGGAGTAGGCAAATTGCGCAAGCGTGCATTGTAATTGAAGTCCGTCGTCGCTCTGTTGTCGTACTTCAGATCAGGAAAAAGGGAGTGATCGGTGCCGACTTCGAGAATCGCGCCAACAACTATCGCCACATCTTCTGCTGATAGAGTGCCTGCCCAGCCCCAGGAGCGGACAAATCCCCAGTTCTCCATGCCGCGGGTACCGCTATCATCAGGAACTAGACCTTCGAGGTTGTAGTGTGCTGACCATTTGAGAATGCGTTTCCGAAGCGTCTGCTTCACAGCAGTGTCCATGTGCAGGTAGCCCTGGCCTGCTTCAGCTAGACTGATACCCATCTTGGCAAGCAGCTTGTGCAGCCGCTTCATGCCCTGATCATTCCACAGGTGCAAACGTGTGGCCAGATAGGGAGAGTGTCGCATTGCATCGTATAAGCTCCAGTGTCGAATCAGCAGGAAACGAGGTTCGGGCGAGAGACGAATACTGGTGTCCGTAGGACTACGTGCCGTGGTAGGAATGACAGCTTCTGCGCTTTGGGATCGCAGAAGTTCTGCTTCTGGTATCGGGTTCAACCGCCTGACTTCTTCTTGTAGGGTTTCGCGGATCAATTTCGCGCGTGGCCCGGCCCCAGCTGGAGTCAGTTGAACAGCAGCCATGCCAACAATTGCTAACCAGAGCAGCTCGTTCTCTTCTCGGCCGAGCTCTGATACTAGAGCATATATCATGCTACATACAGGCTCTGCACCACTCGTGCCACGATCGTAGTACTTGTCTAGGGTCGCTTCATGCCTTCTCCTCAAGTTCAAAAGTTGTTTCATCTTCTGCTTTGAAGTGGGCTCCCTGCGCATCGGAGGTGAAGATGGCACGGGCTGCGGCGTGGAGGCCCCATCTAGCTGACCAGAAAATGGGTTGCCTCCTGGCGAGGACGGTATCGGCACAGAGGTGCTTGAATTGCTTCGTCGTCGTCGCCTCGGTCTACTCTCCTCGACATCGGATTCTGACAGGCTGTCTTCATTATCAGAGTCGAGCCTTCGCTTGCGCTTCTGCCCACTGCTTGATGCATCCTCGTTCTCCTCGTCATTATCTTCGTCATCATCGTCATCGTCGTCGGCGACCATGGCTATATCATCTTCCGTGATCTCGGGCATGCCTTGTAACGCAAAGTATGCTTCTTTTTCAGCTTGCAGATCCTCCATGAGATCGCCGTCGTCAAATACGATGACACCTCCCTTGCCATGCTTGTATCCAGCACCAATGCAGCCTTCCTTGACACCGGGTCGTGACACAGCAGTACCGTCAAGTTCGGACACGGTAGCTGAAGCTCCAAACACGTTGTCCAGGTTGTAAGGTCGGTGAGCATCCACGACCCAAACATCAACACCGTGTTCCGCCATGCCGCCTTCCACCACGTCGCCATCTTCTCCCCTACCGTCCAGACCCAGCACTTCCTCCAATGCGACCGAGCCTCCCAAGCCCAGACAGATCACAGTCCCGCCATCGCCACCACGTTGTCGCGTCAACGGTAGAACAAGTTCCTGTCCATGCTTCTGCAGATCCGCGTAGCCAGACACGGGCTGAATCTTGTGAGGTATGAAATCGCGCTTGAGCAAGCTCACGAGGATACGCGTAGCGCATATGCTGTCGACCGAGAGAGAAGTGAGGATCTGGACAGGCGAAGAGGACGGATGGGTCGTCTTGAGTAGGTCGAGGTAAAGGCGCGTGATATCCGTCCGTGGTAGATACATGGCTGCTTGCAGCACACGCCGACTTATCTTCTCTGGAAATTACGCAGCATTCGTCCAGACATGGGCGGCGCCTTGCTTTTCTTGTTCGCGTTCGTAGTGTCAGAGCTGGTTCGCGTGTTCTGTTGGGTTTGGACGCGTCCTGGAGGCAGTTCTGCGTCCGGTTCGGTGTTGTATATGGCTAAGAGCCGATTACTGTATCGGAGGAGGGAACTGGAAGTGCAATGCGTTGAGAGCAGAGTGGTGTTGGCGGGGGGTTGTGTGTTGCGCAGTGTGTTGTTGGCTGTTGTTGGCAGCTACCTGACCTTACAGTAGAGACGCGACTGGCGCGCTGCTACCTTACGCGTGTGAGGTGAAACCATCGCCAAGACTCGAGCACGTGGCTGCGCGTGCCCTGCCCTGTCCTGCCTTCTCTTCTGCTCTCACTCTCACTCACACTCAACCACTTCTTGAACATCATTACCTCCAAGGGATCATTATAAATTTTGTCGTGCCTCTGCACCTCGGCTGACCACATGGCCCCAACTCATCCCTTCGACATCATCTCCATCGGCATCGCGGTCACTAGAAAAAATTCCAAAGCATGACGCTGATGAGACACAACCACCACTCGGCGTGCTCGCAGCAGCACTGATGTCACTTGTCTCTGAATCAGCTGGCCGTCGACACGACTCGCACCCACAGCCATAGCCGCGACCTTGACGTCCCTCGCGCTCTCGCCCGCTGGCCAATGACGACGATTGTCCCAGCGGCTCATTGCACGCACACGCACACGCACCATCACATCACATTACGGGCTGCACGCAAATCACCGCAATGCATCGCGATGTGCACGAAGATGAGAAGATGAGATGACGAGGAGGGAGAGTATCTTAGGACGGAGTCTGGAGGATCGAGCGACCTGCTTACCAGACCACATACAACTATACCATCGAGAACTCCCCACGCCATGCAATGCAATGCATGCCCGGGCGCGGCGAGGGTGTGGTGTATACGGTAGTAGTTCTCCTCTGTTCTATAGAAACGGTGCGCAGGTGCGCACGTAGGCGAGTGTGCCTAGGCTGTCACGCTGACCTCACCCGCACAACTGCATCGACGAGCCAACTCCACATGATGCGGCCATTTTTGACAATTACCACCAGCACACACGCCACTGCACATGCAGAGCGTACTCATCAGGAATGGCATCAATGCTTTGCAATTCATGCCCAAAGAGCTGAGAGCTGCGACCCCGTCACCTGTGTTGAGAGGCATCACCACAAGCGCATCGAGGCCCCGACGCAGGCAAAATGCATGCCACGACTCGCGCTCTAGACTTCGGGGTCCGCGTCCCCGCGCGGGAGGCGCAAGTCAATCCGCTCGAGCGTGGTTCGTGGTTGGTCTCAAGGGACCTCAAATCGCTTCTAATGTCTCCACCCGGCGCCATGCGAGTCGTGCCTGGATGTGGTTGTTCCTATTTCTCAACCCACAAGCGCCAGCCGGTCGACGGCGTCCCAATGCTCTATGCTCGACAGCGACTATGGCACGTACCTGCAGCAGTGCCGGTCCCCTAAATCGCTCGATGACGCCGTGCAACATCGATCGCGACGACTGTGCTAGGGACAAAAGCGTTCGTGCGCTGACTCGGCTGAGTGAGCAGTTCGGCAACAGATCTACTGGCACCAGATTTGTGGTTCGGAGCTCATGCAAGTACGACCTCAGAGGCTGGTGAACCATTGTATGTAGGGCCTCGTTGTTTAGATATTAAAGGTCGACCCTTTCAGCACACAATTCATCTTGCAAGCTACTCCATTAGCACGTCCCAGGCCAAAGCAACATCCCTTATCAACGAGTAGTCCTAGCCTCGAGTTCCTCGATCAGTCTTCTCTATGTTGGAACCAATCTCCATTCCACCACCTTCTCAAGGCGTCAAGAGAATGTCCGCTACACAGGGTGCTGCTCCCATCAACAACATGGCCCCTCCACCATTCACCCCCAACACTCATATCAACAACACGTCTGTTCCAACAAGGCAGCAGCAAGACCTCGACGGCCTCCGCAGTGCCGTCGTCAGAGACCAGCAGCAGTCCAACAATCTGAACCACTCCAGCTCCGAGGACTGGTCGGACAAAGATGGCAAGGAGAGCATGTCCTCGCCTGGCCATCCTCCTGCCCATGACTTGAAATCAACCACGTCCACTGGCTCTCTACGAACGCCAGTTCCCGCATCCTCGACTCTGCAAACACCCCGTGCGTGGATGGGTCTGGCACCAATGGCAACCGTCGATGAGGAACTCGATCACGCCGAACATAACCACTTCTTTTGGTCCAAGGCTAAAATCGCCTTCAAGGAGCCCTTCGCAGAGTTCTGGGGAACATTTATCCTCGTGCTATTTGGTAAGCTTCTTTGCCCATCAATTTTGACAATTCATCAGCGCTGACTTGAGCAGGTGATGCCGCACTGGCACAGACCCTTCTCACCGCCGGCGACACGACCGCACCTGGTGGTAATGGCTACGGAAACTGGACCACAGTCACCTTTGGCTGGGGTATCGGTCTCATGTTGGGTATCTACGTCGCTGGAGACTCCGGTGCATTCTTGAACCCGGCTGTGTGCCTCGCGTCCTGCATGTTCCGCAAGCTTCCATGGAGACGTCTTCCAATGTACTGGTTGGCTCAATTCTTGGGTGCATTCGTTGCTGCTGGTGTTGTCTATGGCAACTACGTCAACCTCATCGACCAGTATGAAAGCGGTGCTCGTACCGTTGCACCATCTTCAACCGCTACCGCCGGCATCTTCGCAACCTACCCAGCCCCTGCCCTTACCAAGGCCAGCCAGTTTTTCGACCAGTTCATTGGCTCAGCAATCTTGGTATTCATCATCTTTGCCCTCAAGGATGACTCGAACAAGGGCAAGTTCGTCGCGTCTGGTGCTTGGTTCCCACTCTGCTTGTTCTTCACTCTCGTAAGTAACCACGACATTGATTGTTTGATCTCACGATCAAAGCTGACTTCATCGCTAGACTGGTATTGCCATCTGCTTCGGTGCTCAAACTGGCTTCGCTATCAACCCCGCTCGTGACCTCGGTCCACGTGTCATGACTGCATGCCTGGGCTACGGCACTGCCGTTTGGTCCGCTGGAGACTACTATTTCTGGGTCCCTATTGTGGCACCCTTCTGCGGCTGCGTTGTTGGAGCATTCTTATATGATGCATTCGTCTACACTGGCGAGTCACCTGTCAACACACCATGGTTCGGTCTCAAGCAACTCATGACCCCACACAAGATGGTTTCCAACCGTCTCAACCGCCAAAAGGAGGAGGGTATGGTCTAAGCGAAAGCGAGACTTCCGACATCTCCATTTCTTATTTGTATAATTTTTTCTTTTGCACGATATGCTCTATTTCATCGCACGACATGCTCTACATTGAAGAGACATGATCGGGTCTTACAGCCAGAATGCTGTTTGCAGGGTGTCTAGGAGGTAGTACCCTTTACGCATGAGATTTTTTCGGAGGGATTGCAGGACCTTTTTGATACGAGAACGGAAAAAAGAACGATTCCTTTTTTCCTTGTATATTACATTGTATATTAGTTACGGCTCTATGTATCCCAGGACCAAAAAGATATCCAGACCCCCAGAACTTCACGAGCACTTACATTTCACCTTTGTTACTATCCGGCTACCTTGTCTTACTTTTGCTCGTGGAGTCGCGCGTTCTTTCCCTGTTCAACAACAACAACAACAACAACAACAACTCCCTCTCCCTTCCCCTTCAATCACCGAAAAACTTACAGACGTCTTACCCTAACCAAATTTTGCGTTTCGCGTCCAAGAAGAAAAGAACGTTTCTTCCCCTCCGAGACATCTAGAGGTTCTAAATATTCTGGAATGGTCTGGAATATTGGTTTGGGTTGGAACATGCCGATATTCTTTTTTTAAAGAAGGGAATCTGGAACTGTGAGAGTGAGACAGGATCTGGAACAATTGGAACAACTGGAACGGCTGGAACACTCGGAGGGTATCTCCTAGGACGGGTGGAGGGTAGGAGGTATATTAGGTAAGCTTGGAAGATACTAAGGTACTAAGGGAAAGGGGGAAGGGAAGAAAATGGCGGGCGGGTTAGGCGGTTAAACGGGGTTTGAGGGATAGGTGAGGCTAGGGTTATGTGCATTAGGGTTGGGTAGGGGAGGGTCAAGGTAGGGTGTGCATAGGTAGTGGGTTGATTACCTTAAATTGATTCATTGAGCAAACAAAGTGTTAGGCTGTTGGCGGGTATGGAAAGTGATAGAGCGGTTTAATAAGCCTTTTCAATAGGGTGGATTTGATGAGGCACCTGGCAATGAACGAGTAAGTGAATAAATGAAGCAGAGTAGCAGCTTTTTCTTCCATCATACCTTATCTAATAAGGTACGTAAAGTGATTTTTGCGGTAACTATCAAAATATCCAGGAAAAGAAGGAAAAAGAGAAAAAACACAAAACGAAACTTTCTCCATTCTGATTCTTGCGTACGTCCGGCAGTGAGTTCATTTTCTTGTCTTATTTGCACCTTCATCAAGCAATGTTGGAAATCCCGGGACAAATGAACGAACGCCCCTTTGATTTGTTTGTTGCCTTTTTTCAAAACATGCCTTGAAATTTTCCTTACCTTTCGGGACTTTTTGATGGCCAGCCGTTCTTACACCCCCCTTCCATTTGTGGTGCTTTCAGTAGCCTGGAGCAGTCCGAGCGAGAGGACCAGTCGGGAATACCGAGTCGTCTGTAGTCGACTCGGAGGTGGTAGTGGTAGATGAGGATGAAGAAGTAGTGTCGGAGGTTGTCGTCTGTGAAGTCGTAGAGGACCCGGAGCCTGGAATCGGAGTCAACGAACCAGAGACAGCCTCGATTCCCAGATTTCCCGTCACGCAAGTTCCATTGTTCACGGCTTCTGCTGCATCGCCTTGGTCTCTGTTGACATTGTCGTTCCAGACACCTGGAGCGCCAAAGGCGAGGCGGCGGTTAGGTGAATTACCGGAGAAGCATGCGGCAAAGATGTAGTTCGATTGACTTCCAGTGGGAACCAATGTGCCATTGCAAGGAGCAAAGGTTGGAGCCGTCCATGGATCTGGTACAGGCAAGTTGCCAGGTACTAAGTAAACGAATGGCACGTCCCAAGTGTTTTGCTCGACAGCGATCTTGAGCTGGGCAGCAGCTAAGATCAGGTTCATGAGCGGGTTGAATCCCCAAGAAGATGCACCCGATCTGCCTGGTGAAAGCGCGATAACGTCTGTACCGCTGGTATTACTGGCGGCTTGGGTGTTTCTGCCGTAAAGCTTCTGGCCCCCAATATTCATGAAGATGCGGAAGCGACCGGTGGGAAGTGGATAGGCGGAAGTGACTGTGGTGATGCTGGTCGATCTGACGGTAGTGATGCTCGGAACGACAACGCGAATCTGCATTCCCGTTAGAAGAAGATTCCGTCGACTTCATCGCAATGAGCATACCGTGGTTGATGTGACATCGCTGGCAGTGATTACACGTGTAGAGGTGATCGTAGTTGTTGTCCTGGTCGTGCTACGGCCGCCTGCGGTGATGGAGGCCTGTGAAATGGTTAGCTTTACCCAAAGCACGATTGGAATGATGGAGTCAACTTGCAGTCACAGTGGTGGTACCGCTTGTGGCTCTGGCAGACAATGTGATTGTCGTGGTGGCAATAGCAGAGGACGGACGAAGACACCTGCAAGCTTGAATAATGCCCTCCAGTCCATATTGCGTGCGGAAGTATGGGAAGCAAGTGGATGAGGCTTGCCGACGCTTCATGCCCGACGTATCGTCAGAACTCGCAGTCGTTGGGAAGACTGCGGAAGTGGCAGAGTTGGGACAGGTGTACTGGGTTGAGGTCCTACTGATGGTAAGCGTGGTGACTTAGTTACAGGGTGGTGAAGGATTACCTGACAATGCCAGTAGTGACCGTGCCGGCAATGCTCGTCGTGGTGCCGCTTGTTACCCTCACAGTGCTAGTGTAGGTGCTTGGACAGTCAGTGAAAAGGTCATGGTGGATTCACAGGATCGCGCATACATTGTTGTTCTGACTGTAGTGGATCTGGAGTAACTGCGGGTGCGTGTGGAAGTGTAGCTCGTGGCAACCGTTAAAGTTCTAGTAGTGGTACGCGGAACTATGCTGTGTGATTGTCAATTGTGAACAACTGGGGAGAGCTCAGGGGCACACACGTAGTGCTGTATTCGACAGCAGTCGACGTGAGGTCGGAGCACACGCTTTCCACAAACGCAGTACCTCTACCGGAAATACATGCAGCTTCTGCAGAGACTGTCGCCGCTGCAGAACATGTTGCAGACGATGTAATGGTGTCTTGCCTGGCATCCAAAGCTGGCTGAGGTGCAGCGAGTGTGAGGGCGATCAACGCGAACAGAAGGCCGTAGGTGCTGGCCATTGAGATAGGCATGTTGGGAGTAACGAAGGACTTGCTGCGATGAGGTGAGGCTGCGATACTTCGAGAGACAAGTGGTGAACATCTTCAGTAGATATATATGTTATGCGTGTTGCTCTCTCATCGCGTCTGGTCAATTGCAAGTCCAAGCCTTGATCGATGGCTCGACCGTTCTGCTGGGAAACACAGCCGAATGCACGAGACTCCTTCAATATTGGCTTGCACGAATCGAAGCCTTTGGTGACCAGAGCTGGTCGAATCGCAAGTGGCCGCAACTCGTCAGGAGCGGCAGGCAAAGCATCGTGGCTCGAAAGGGGCATCTCTCCGTCATCCGGAGCATTTCTCTGTGGTGGGTGGGCTTCGTGTAAGTCGTCGATGAGGTGGTGTCGATAGTTCTCAGCCGAGCAAGACTCTTTCGAGACTTCGATTTCTTTATGTACCCCTGCATGAGACAACCACAAGCTGCAGTCCCACGAAGCCTTCAGACACACCAATGATCTCCTTGGCGTGCTGGTGTGACCACGTACATCCAGGAACCAAGCAGGACAAAGGCCGAGTTTCAATGAGGAGATTTGTCTAGCGATGCGCTAGTTGCGTCGAGAGCCAGCGATGTGAATATCGGGAAACACGCTGCCATGTCCAGGAGTTAGAGCGCACGTGAAGCATTGCCTGTCCCACGTTCGGGTACGAGTCCATACGCCACCATGGCAAGCAGCGGGGTGCTCGTCACCCTCAGTCGGTCTTGTCCTCCTGTCGCAGTCTTGTGAATTCTTTGGACTAAAGTGCCGGGCTTGTATTCTTTCTGTCCCTTCAAGTTCCTATACTTCATGCCCCGTCCAGGCCCCCTGAATTGAGCGAAGCATACATACCTAACTTGAGATGGGATGTACGCCGATATAGACTGACTTGATGAGCCGGCACGCCTGAGACCAAGGTAGGAAGTGCTACAAGAGATCAAGGCATGAAACTGCCTGTTTCCATGTCACTCAGGCTCTTCTCAGTATCAGGATGTACGTTCATTCATAGCATGACTGCATCCGAACAGATCTGCATGTCCACGGTTATCGAAGCCGGCTCGCAGAAAGGTGCAAAAAATTGCAGAACGTCCGGGGGACGAATGTATATGATAATCACTAGAAAGAAGAAAAAAGCAAAAAGAACGATTAGAACGCCCCACGGGACTCGAACCCGCAATCCCCTGATGTCGGACCATATTTGGATCGAAGTCAGATGCCTTAACCATTGGGCCAAGGGCGCAATGTATGACGCCGTACAGCGATAACAGGGTTTAGACAGCGTGATATATATACACCACAAATCCCTGCATAAATGGCCAGTGTAGCGGTGTTGAACGGTCCTAGGCTGTAGAGCACAATCAGGTACAAGTTTGTTCTTGTTGCACTATCCCTGGCAATGCAACACTACTCTGCGAACGATTAGTGACTACCTGTGCCGCGGCAATCTTCATTTCACTCGAGCCTTGGCGCTTCACAAACTCTTCCCAATCAGTACTCCCAAGAAGCCAAAACATAAAAACTTCTTCAGCTCTCGGAATTCGAGTGATCTGTCAGTGCGACTGTAGAGCATCATGTCAGACCTCGCCGCTCACTTCAGTGCCGCAGCCACTTCAGCAGACTGTATCCACGTCAAGAATATCCAATTGTCCTCTCCCGTGTCAGCGCCTGATGTTTGGGGCAATCTCAAGGAACAGCCAGCGCTCGTAAGCGTACATCTCTCGCTCACAAAGGGCTTCAGCACAGCATCGGATGCCGACAAGCTAGACGACAGCACCATCCATTATGGCAATCTTACCAAGCGCATCCGGTCAAATTGTGGGCAAGACTGTATCACATTGGATCAGGTTCTCGCTGCGACCGAATCCGCAATACATGGTCTGGCATTGAAAGCCAACGACAATTTCATCGTTGCGAGAAGTGCAGTGGAAGTACACCTGCCCAAAGCGAGTATGCTTGGCACCGAAGTGGTCATCACGTCTACCACGTCTTATGACCAGACTGGCAAGTCGTGCGATGTCACGAGGATTTTCAGCGTCAAGGATGTGACGATTCCGACTCTGATTGGCGTCAATGCCTATGAGAGAACCATGAAGCAACCGCTCGTAGTGAGCTTCACATTGCAATATACTCATTGTTCGAGCAGCTCATTCGATGAGAGGCACCAGAAGGCACTCTTTGATGTCGAAAAGACTCTAGTTCAGGTAGGTTTGACAAACCTGAAAAATGTAGGACTGATGAACACATCTGACATGATAGCAGATCATTCAGGATACAACCTATGAGACTCTGGAGACGCTCGTGGAGTTTGTCTACATGCAGCTGATTCAAAGGCTTCCAGAAGTCTTATCGCCTGGTACAAAGTTCAGCCTTCGAGTCGAGAAACCCAGGGCTATTGCAATGGCAGACGCGCCTATCATCGAAATTATGAGGACAGTATCAGGCAATGAGGCTTCCAACAAACAGGATGCAGCTGCAGCTTCCAGCGATTGATCATCAGCCGCGACCACAACTTCAGCGTCGGCTGACGGCCCTCTGGCTGTATCATCGACACTGGGTGGTATGAAGATTGTGCAGCCATATTCCTCCTGAGAGAACAAGACCCGGCTCAAATCACGCGCGACTGTATCGACTATCAATGCTGTCCAAAGAAGCATTCCCGTGCCATGGCGAGTGTGCAAGCAATACGCGGACAACGTTCGCCGAGATGACCCACACACTGCATTCATGATGAAACAGGTGGAGCGACCGGCGTGCAGCCGTCACCGCGTTGGGCACGTCAAACGGGGCTTATATTGGCCTTTGTTGGGAGTGATGCAAATACTAGTATGGCTACAGCAAGCCGTGAACTGTTGAGATAAATGAAGCAAAGGTCTCTGCAAGCGAGCGACCCTTTCAATATGAGTGGCGTGGCAGCCTCGCGTCGGCCATTGGACGAGATGGGATCGATGGAACCAGATTCAGCCATGCTAGCCTTGATCTGTCAGTGTGGCTGTCTGTAATATGCGGCCAATTCCGGACGTCTACTAAGAAGTTAGTTTATCATTTTGATAAGGACCTGCTTCCTCTCAATATACTGAAATGGAATGCCTTCAGCGCTAGAACCGAAGGATGTTCTCGGCCAAGTTCCCGTTCTCTACTTCTTTTCCTCTTCAACCTCGACGCTTCTCGACGAGAGAATGAGAACGTTCTCACGTCACGAGCGCGGAAAGCAAGTACATATGTACCTTAGTAGACTGAACGCTCCGTCGGAGGCAACCGCTATAGGGCCCTAACTTCTTCTGTTCCCTCGGTAGTTTAGCCACTATTCAAGGAAGGCTTAGGATTTAGGAAGCACCTTTAGACCGGTTTCTCTTGTTATACGCGTATACCTTCTACGTATAGTATGCCCGGCTATTGTTTGAAGCTAAGCAAGGGTAGAATAGGACCCAATGACCCCCATCAGACGTAAGGCCGGTGCGTCGAATGGTCAAGTCCGCAAGTTTTGCGATATTGCTCGCTCATATCTTCTACACCAAGACCGCGCAATTCATATATAGAAGTGTTTCGTCTGGATCATCTCCACCGAATGGGTGTGCTTTGGTGGTGGTCTCTCGCCGCCCGGCAGGATCTTGCCCGTCGCAATCGTGGTGGGGATGAATGAATCGATGTGCCGTGAAAATGCCGTGTTATCGATAGAAGTAGACCTAGCACAGCTGCCAACAATTAAGTCTGCGAGCTTTGCCGAGGAATGTTGGATGAAGTCGTTGGGAACAAGTCCAAGATGCTATCGATCTGGGCTGCGCTAGAACACCCACAGCTTGTAGCCTTGTACGTCTTCACGAGATCCTGGAGGCGCAATACGTGCCGGAACGCCATACCGCTGCCGCAGCCTGCAGTACCGTCAAGCCACAGTAGAACTACAGGGGTAAAATGCTACGAAATGGAGGCAGCGCGGGTGTGTCGGTGTGACATGACAGTACTGTAGACTGAACACAGGTAGGAATTGGCTGGCAATGATCGCCAGGTCATGTATACAGTGCCTTAGCGTGTCGATGCCGCGATGGGGATAATTCTCCCGTCGGAGTGTGATGGGTCATCTTCCAGAAACGCTAGAGGTGTGGCAACGGTGAGGTGGCGAACTTGGGCGCAAGATGCATCTCGCTGCGAGAGAGGAGGTATGGCGGTCGTTCTATCGGAAAGACAACTCTAGCAGAACTAGGAGGTATACCTCCTAATAATACCTCTACCTCCTAAGAGAGATGTGAGTGAGGATAAGTCCGGTGGGGAGCGGAGGCGGCAGCGAGTCGCGAAAAGCATCCGATTGGTATCGTTGCCGTGGCGTTGAGGATGAAGCAGCTCTTTAGCGGCCAACGCGCGGGCCCTGCATGGCTATTTGGCTATATTGAGGCAGGTGCAGCTTGTTGTTCAGGCCGTCCTTTGACCATGAAATGCCTGTGATTGCAATAAAAATACCCTCGCACACCACATTCACCTCCTCTACTCCTCATCCTCATCTTCTCCTGCTTCTCTCCTGTCCATACCATTGCACCGCCGCGACATTTGTTCAGTAACGCTCCTCGGATTGTGCAAGCCAAGCACCCTTGAACTCTGCGGGGTGAGCTCTCTTGCCCAGCTTTAACTGTTTCGAAGCATCCAAACTTTTGTTTCCTCAACATCAACTGACCACCCCCCTTCTTCTCGCCAGAACCTCACACAGCGACGACATCACGACACGCAAACATGGCATCCGCTCTCAAGGATGCGCTTCCAGCGCGCCTGAAGCCCTCCAATGGCGAGGCTGAGGGCCGTCACCACGGCAAATCTCAGTCCCACGTGGTAAGTTTTCCTCTGATTCACTCCGTGGTCCTGTCTTCTCGCGAGCGGCGGCGGCGACGACGAGCAGCGGAACCGACGACTGCGAAGATGAAGACTGCGTCGGCACCAGCGTCAGCAAGGCGGCCTCCCCGTCGTTGGCAAGAGTGACCATCAGCACACCCACGGACGTCGCTTCCGCGGCGCTCTGGTGTTGCTAGAAGACGGTCAAGGCGAGCTTGTCCACAAGGCAGCAATACGGCACACACTTCAAGCAAGCCCCAAGCGAGCTTGAAGCGCTGTTCGATTCGCGATCGCATGGTCACTTGCCAATATGGGTGCCGCCGCTGCAATGTGCTGGCCGCCGACCAGAGCAAGCTTCACTTCAGCAGCGGAACTACCGCCACAAACACCACATTCCCGATCCACGCATTCACCAAACTGCACATTCACCAACCCACGCGAGTCGACACTCGACACTTGACTACATAATAGCGACGATGCTTTCGCTTTGAAAGCTGTACCTATACACACTCTAGCTTCAGCTCTAGCTATCTACGTGCAAAATGGCCAGCAAGTCTGTGATGGAGACATACACGAAGCTAACCAACGGCTCTCATCAGGCTTTCGAGAACACCTCCACATCCGTCGCTGCGTCTCAGATGCGCAACGCTCTCAACAACCTGACAGACACGGTCAAGGACCCAAAGGAGAAGAAGGTCAGTACCGCTCGGTTTCCGAGTGCCAACCAGATTTCTGACGTTTTCGCAGCGTTTCGAGACCGAGATGGACAACTTCTTTGCTCTCTTCCGCCGCTACTTGAACGACAAGGCGAAGAGCAACGAGATCGACTGGGCCCGCATCGCTCCACCAAAGCCAGAGCAGGTCGTCGACTACAACAGCTTGGGCAACTCGGAATCTGTTGAGTTCCTCAACAAGCTCGCCGTGCTCAAGCTCAACGGCGGTCTCGGTACTTCTATGGGCTGCGTTGGTCCAAAGTCCGTCATTGAGGTCCGCGATGGCATGTCATTCCTCGACCTTTCAGTCCGCCAGATTGAATACCTCAACCGCACATACGACGTTAACGTCCCGTTTGTGCTGATGAACTCATTCAACACTGACGCGGACACGGCTTCTATCATCAAGAAGTACGAGGGCCACAACATCGACATCATGACGTTCAACCAGTCCCGATACCCCCGTGTGCTCAAGGATTCCCTCCTCCCAGCACCAAAGTCTGCCGACTCCAAGATCTCCGACTGGTACCCACCAGGACACGGTGACGTGTTCGAGTCGCTCTACAACTCGGGCATTCTCGACAAGCTCATCGAGCGCGGCATCGAGATCCTCTTCCTGTCTAACGCTGACAACCTGGGCGCTGTCGTCGACCTGAACATCCTGCAACACATGGTGGAGTCGAAGGCTGAGTACATTATGGAGTTGACAGACAAGACCAAGGCCGATGTCAAGGGTGGTACCATTATCGACTATGAGGGCCAGGCTCGTCTGCTGGAAATCGCGCAGGTGCCCAAGCAGTATGTGAACGAGTTCAAGAGCATCAAGAAGTTCAAGTACTTCAACACCAACAACATCTGGATGAACTTGCGAGCGGTTAAGCGCATCGTGGAGAACAACGAGTTGGAGATGGAGATCATCCCCAACGGCAAGAGCATTCCCGCAGATAACAAGGGCGAGGCCGATCTGAGTATCATTCAGCTCGAAACCGCTGTTGGTGCTGCCATCAAGCATTTCCACAATGCTCACGGTGTCAACGTGCCACGCCGTCGCTTCTTGCCCGTGAAGACGTGCTCAGACCTGATGCTCGTCAAGTCGGATCTGTACACACTCAAGCACGGCCAGCTCGTAATGGACCCGAACCGCTTCGGACCAGCTCCGCTCATCAAGCTCGGTGGTGACTTCAAGAAGGTGTCCAACTTCCAGTCGCGCATTCCGTCGATTCCCAAGATTCTCGAGCTGGACCACCTCACCATCACCGGCGCTGTCAACCTTGGCCGCGGAGTCGTGCTCAAGGGCACGGTCATCATTGTGGCGACAGAGGGCAGCACCATCGACGTGCCACCAGGCTCCATTCTGGAGAACGTGGTGGTGCAGGGAAGCTTGAGGCTGCTCGAGCACTAGAGTGGTTCTGCGAGGCGGCTTCAGGCTGCAACTGCTTAGCACCTCTGTTCAGCACGGCCATGCTGGACCAATTCAGTGACACGCGGGATGTAATTACTACTACTACAGCGAAAGGAAAAGGTCGAATCAGTCGATCTGACAGCGACGACAAGCGTATTGCATGAGATACCATCGGAGGTGTACTCCCAGCGCATGACGGAATGAAGATGATAAATTTTGTTCAAGTGACTCTCCTTTCATTCTTCATCTCTTGCTACTGACCTTGTCGTTACCCTGTTGGTGACTGTGGCCACATCCGTGCCATGTCTGCTGTGTGATCCATATCGAGTACAACGGTGAGTCGGCTGTAGAACTATCGGCGACTGGGCAGCAAGGATTAATTCTATCAATCGGCCAATATTCCCTGCAATGACGTCCTTCTCAAACAAATCTTACCTTACACGTGCAAAGAGGTAGAACCTTAGGTCGGTACGTGTACTGTACAGTTCCCTCTCTCTGCCATGCATATCATGATGCATGTCCTTGCATCCACCGAGTCCTTCTCAGAGACGGTCGTTTTGATACAATGGACGTTTGTGCTAACAAACCATCCCATCCGTCCCGACTCCTCGTAGTGCTCTTCTCCTTGCCATCCCATCCCCCTCACTTCCCATCCCATCCTCTTCTCCCCGCCTCACTACTAAGGCTTTGTCGCAGGCACACTCGGAAGATCCGAAGTCGCATCACATCAGCCTGCAGTTCCCAAGCAAGGAACCGCTGAACACTTCTAGCACCGAGCTGCTGTGTATGTGCGTGTGTCTGTGTGGCTGCGCGCCCGTTGCAGATGCGCTAGCCGTTGTTCACCTCACTACCTACCTTATCTCCAGGCACTCACAGCTTGCCTCATGCTCATGCGCGACTGCATGTATGGAATAGCTGCGGACTTCCCTCGAACGTCACTCTATATCCTCGTCCAGTCCATCGTACAAGCAACGATATAGGCATCGCTGTGGCTGAATATGACGAGCGCAACACCTTCTTCGACGCCTCCAGAGGAGCACGCGACCCATTCTGAAGCGCAACACCAGCACGGACACGAGCAGCAGCAGAAACAGAAGCAGAAGCAGAAGCAGGATCAGGAGCAGACGCGCGAGCACGCGGATGCGGACCAGCACGAGAAGGATGTTGAGCAGCGCGAGGCTTACGAGTACTGGGGATATCTGTTTAAGCCGGATAAGACGGGCACCGACAAGCTCAAGAGCTTGCTGCGAGGCTTGAAGGACCTCATGAACGAGCAGTATGAGCCCTCTGACAACCCCGATCTGACGCCGAATCAGCTGGCGCACTTCTACCGCGACCTGCATGGCAACTACGATCAGCTGTTCCTAGGCACGCCCAGCGAGAGCATCGCCTTCATCTACAAGAGCTTAGGCTGTCTGCACAGTCTGCAGCCGCTCCACCACACTCACCAGACTGCCTTTACGGATCCCACCGTGCCTGCGCTGAAGACTGAGGGATGGATCATGTGGCAGACGATCCAGCTTCTCCTGGGGCCTGAAGAGCACTCGAGCTTCCTGCGAGAAGCTGTCGCCAAGTGGGATGTCAAAGACCATGACACCGGCGCCGTGCTCCCCAAGATCCTGCCGCGAGAGTGCTTTCCAATCGACCCGGATAAGCACATGGTGGCCTGGTACGAGGGTGTCTCGGAGCGCCTACGTCGAGAAGCAGAAGACGAAGAGCGCCACAAGCATGTTGAGGTGGAGCACGACTCGGATCAACCACCACCACGACGAGTACGAGATAGAGCGCATCATGGGCCGCCACATGGCCCTCCACGTCCAGAGGGAGATGTGCCGAGTGAAGATGATGGTGCATCAGTGGACTCACGAGGACCCGCGCTGGCATACTTTCGAAACCCTTTATACAGGCACGTGGATGGCCGACCCTCCATCGTGCGGAAAACGTCGAAAAGACCAGGCTTGAGCCCGCGCGCGACGATGCTCGACAAAGGGAAAGCAGCAGCGGCTTCATTCGGACGCATCGCACGCGGTGTGGGCAGTCCGCACTTGTGGTCCGCCGAACCAAGACACAGCCGAAGTCATTCTCGCGACCACCAGGACCACCACGAGCGAAGAAGGAGCCACGCGGACAACAGATATCCTCCCGATACAGAAGAACCCACATCCGCAGGTTCCTACGATGAACGCTTCGAGCCACGAGCAAATTCGAGCCACACCCATAGCCATAGTAGCCATGGCCCCAGCCGTCACAGGCGGAAGTCTTCTCAGCCCGATCGAGCTCCTTCCGGTGCTGTTGCGGACGATGAGATGGAGGAGAGCGAGACGAGCCCTGTATACAGTCCTCCATCGGGGTCCAATTCGAGCAGACCTCGACACCATCGCTCTAGGCCATCTGAAGCTCGTGATGGCGATCGCGATCAGCCGTTGCGACACTCCAGGAGCCACGATCCGACGCCGAGTCAGCGCGAAGGTGAAGACTATTTCGGTCCTGGCGGGCACTACGAGGAACCTCCTGCTGCTAGGAGAAGCTCTGTTCATGACAGACCCAACACACCACCAGTGCAGTACAATGACTTTGGCCCATCCTTCGGACCTTCCGCTTCGCCCCTGTTCGCTGCAACAGTAGCCAGGCATCCTGCTCCGCCTGCGCCTCATTTCACACAGAACATGCCACCAAGAGGGCCTCCTGGCAATGGCCACCTGCCGCCACCAGGCCCAGAATACGATGGAGGTCTACCTGCGAGACACCAGTCATTACGACGACATCACGATGGGTACGACGGCCGCAGCCCTGCGCGAGATGACAGACATTATGGCAGTCCTCGGCCAGGATCACGAAGGTACGATGATTCTCAATACCCCAGTGGTCCACCCCCAGGACGCGATCCGCGGGATTCACGGTATCCGCCTCCTGATTTCGATTCACATCGTTTGCGAGACTCCAGAGAACGCGGCTATCCACCTCCAGACGACCGCCGACCGCCACGCGATGCCCGAGACAGAGATCATCGCGACCGGCGAAGCAGTCGCGCGAGTGCTCCGCCTCCTGACGATGATTATGACGATCCTCGGAGACACCATCGGCCAAAGCACACCCGTTTTACGGATACTGGCGTGAGCGGCAGAAAGTATCCGGATGAGAGTGGTTTCAGTCGTGGTTCGTAGGAGGAATCTCGTACTTTGATCAAAGACAGATTGAAACACTGGGCCGAGGAAAGGCAGAAGAGAAAGAATGGAATCTGGCACGAGCAGACCTGAGCAACGAATGATGACACGAGGGGAGTAGATTTTGGTAATGCTACACGTTTGATGAGTAGGCACATGTAGTAGATACGATGTTATGAGCAATAAGGTAGTACTACTCCTTTCAAGTCCTCAGTTATGGAAAGACTTTTTTACATCTCAGCACTTTCTGAATTCCGAACGCTTCTCTTTTTCGGAAATATGTCATGATCATTTATTCATATATTTGATCTCCATGTCATAAAAGAACACGTGATTTGTGACCTAGCTTCTCCCGTACTTATAACAACACCACCAACTACAAGACCAAGATTCCCTCATCACTCCATATAACTCACCGTCTTAATCCTCACAAACTCCTCCAATCCCCACTGCGCATTAAATCTTCCCCAACCAGATTTCTTCACGCCACCATGCGGCAAGCCCGCTTCATCATGCACACTCATCGAATTAATATGAATCGCACCCGAATCAATTTCCTTTGCAATCTTCAATCCTCTTCCCAAACTTTCCGTAAACACGGCACCGGAAAGTCCATATTCCGTATCATTCGCAATGGAAATCGCTTCTTCGTCAGATTCGATAGCGATGAGAGAAAGTGTCGGGCCGAAAGATTCCGTGTACCAAATGTCCATGTCTTTTTTCACGTCCGACACGATGAGGGGTCGGATTCGATAGGCGGAGGGGTCAGTGGAAGAAGGGTCTCCATAGATGATTTTGGCGCCTTTGGAAACGGCGTCTTGCCGCAATTTGGCGTTTTTCTCGACGCCGGGTTTGGCGATGAGTAAAGGTGCTTCTGCCGATGGGGCGTAGATTTTGTCGGTGGCGGATTTTAAGGCTTCGCCAAAGGGTTCGAGGATTTTGCGGTGCACGAGGACGCGTTCGGTGGCCATGCAGATTTGTCCGCCGTGTAAGAAGGAGCCGAGGGCGACTTGGAAGGCGGCGTGTTCGATGTTGGCGTCTTCGCAGACGATGGCGCTGGCTTTGCCGCCGAGTTCCATGAGGCAGGGTTTGAGTTCTTTGCCGGCTTTGGCGGCGATGATGCTGCCGACGATGGTAGATCCGGTGAAGTTGATTTTTTTGATGCTGGGATGCTCGATCAACTTGTTGGTGACTGCTGCAGCATCTTGTGGTCGGTGATACACAATGTTCAATACACCATCGGGCAAGCCGGCCTCCTTGAGAATGGATCCAATGGCCCAGTACGTCCTAGGGCTCAGCTCGGAGCCTTTCAGGACGCACGTGTTGCCTGCGGCGATGGGATAGAGGAAAGCACGAACACCCAGGATGTAGGGAGCATTCCATGGAGCAATGCCCAAAATGACACCCATGGGCTCCTTGAACAAAAACGCTCCTTGACCGGGAGTCTTGGTCTGAGGAATGTGGCCACTAATGGTGGAAGCGAGCCCACTCACGGAGCGGAAATTGTCAATGGTGGTAGCAATGTTAAATTGTGCAAAGGCATCGAGAGAACCCGTTTCCTCCATCATATAGCCGATGAGCTCGGCTCTTCGTGACTCCATGATGTCAGCTGCTTTAAGGAGGATGCTCTGAATGTCGCCGGCTTTGGTTTTGCGCCATGTTTTGAACGCTTTTTCAGCGGCTTCACATGCCTCTGCAACATGCTGCTCCGACGCCGAAGAGGAAGGCCACAGCGGCTGGCTTGTGCTGGGGCAATTCACGTCAAAGGTGGTGTCTGTGACGACCTCCTGGCCATTGATCCAGAGCGGCACGGGCCCAGCCATAGTGATGACTGCTGTCCTGGTACTTGGAGAAGGAGGAGGAGGATAATGAGGAGAAGGAGGACGAGGACGAGGAGGAGCAAGTGGAATGTATCGTGACTTAGGTATGTAGTTTGGTGCAATTGGTAATTGGTGCCACCGTTCTCAGGACACAAAAGGGATGGACTGATAGTCTATATATGTTGTGAATCATCCCGTGACCTCGGTCGTGGCCCCCACAGCCGCACAACGGTGCGTCGTATGGGGCAAAGGTCCTAGATCCTAGCTGGAAGAACTGCCGAGTTAGCCTACCGCCCCCATTGCAGTGGAGAAGTTCGAGGGGCTAGTTCTATTACACTCGTTGCTTACACACAGCCGCTCCCAGGATTTATCATCGGCCTCAAGTGAAACTACCACATATTCCGTTCTGTTCGACATCCACCTACCGTACGAGACAGCGTCCCGGTGGGCGTGAACAGCCGCGGTGCTTCAGCTACCGAGTGAGAGCTACAATATCATACGCATGACTGGACGGAAAGAAAGGATGTAATGCACAATCGTGCAGCCATGGGTGGTACTGTATCCACTCCTGCATGTATGAACCCATGTTTGCACTTTCTGACTGCATTATCTGAATGCGTGCGACATGTAAGATATGTTATATGCAGAAGCTTGTCTGGTCTACAGGCTTCCATCGGCCACAAGCTGTTTGCAACCATTGATCATATCGGCCTTGAGGTCCTCCCAGCTCTCAACACCAACGCTGACTCGCAGCAGACCGCCTTCCACCTTCGGGTCACTCATCTTCCTCCACTCAACCAGACTCTCCACACCGCCCAAACTCGTAGCATGGTGGAAGAGGTGCAATTTCGAAGGCAAACGTCTTGCCAATGCTTCACTTTTCATCCACATCGAGAAAACAGGACCAAATCCGTTCGGCATCTGCTTTTTCAACCACCCCATGTCTTCCTTTTGCAGACTCGCATGCTCAATCTTCTCCACAACCTTCTTCACATCCTCGACGCCGTCATCATCCGTCCCTGATGTTCCCTCCAGCGCGCCAGCAATGAAAGCAACCAACTGATCCGCATTCTCGCTCTGCCTCTTGACCCTCAACTCAAACGTCCTGAGAGATCTCACACCAAGCCAACCTTCCATACTACCCATGACACTCCCTAGATAGATCCTTTCAGCATACATGCCCCAATAGTGTTTTTCCCATTCTTCCCCCTGTCTCCCCACCCCAACAACACCACACAGCATATCCGAATGCCCGCCAAAATATTTGGTCCCAGAATGCATAACAAAATTCGCTCCCCACAGAAAGGGATCCAGCAAAGGCGGAGGAGCAAACGTCGCATCCACAGTCAAATACGCTCCTCTCCGATGCGCCGCCTGCGCAAAAGCTTCTACATTGTAAGCAATCCCCGTAGGATTGACCGGAGTCTCCAAATGTACCACATCACCCTTTCCCAGCCCCGCTTCATCCCAGCTCTTCTCATCAAACAAATCCACAATCTTGCATCCTGTCAGTTTCTGGTAAATGGCCAAGACACCATGGCAGCCGTGATAGCCCTCACCGATAGCGACGACCTTGGGGTGCAGCCATGTGAGGAGGGCATGGAATGCCGAGAGACCACTCGAGTAGGTGATGACGGGCTGGCCGAGGATGCTGGTGAGCATCAACTCCAATCGACTGGAGTTGGGAGCGGTAAGGCGGGAATAGATGTGTCCATCGCCGAGCATGGGCCCTCCAGGAGGGTGCAAATCGGACAGTTCGAGTTCGCGTGAAGGGTCGAGCTGGGAGGGGTCGGATTTGTAGCGGTAGGTGGTGGAGACGTGGAGAGGAGGAGCGACATCGATGTTAAAGTTGATGGGGTCATCGGCGTGAATGGCTCTAGTAGCGAGGCTGAGGTTCTCGTAGTCGCCTGGCTGTGGAATGCGTCGTGGAGGCTTGTTCGGCTGGTCGTGGAGAGGTTCTGCCATAGTCAACCTGCGGCGCGGTATCAAGGAAAGCAATGTAGGTAAGGTAGTCAGAAGAACGACAAAAAGGGTATCATATAGGTGCTTGTCCTACGATCACATTCAAACTGGTATGTCTGTCTTGTACCTGTAGCTTGCGCTCTCACCGCGGTTCATGAAGCATTCCAAGTTCATTGGCAGTCGCGTCATATCACACCAAACTGACATTTCAAGTTGACCTTTGGCCTTGCCTTGCCCCCCACCATGGGAACTCCCGTCCCGTAGGGCGGGGATCACCCGTACCGAGAAAGATCCGCTCTACTCTGGTTGTCTGGATCATATCCGTCGCTTGAGCGTAATGCCGCGAGAGACGCTCGTAGCAGCTGGGAGGGCATGCGCGAACCTGTCGCGATCTGGTACGACTGTTAATATGTGCAATTTCATGCAACTTCATGTTGGAGAGAGACTTACCTTGTTCCGTATCGAATCCTATGGTAATGTCATCGTGTTCTTCGGCATATTCCAGGTTCTCCAAGTTGACGAACCGATTCTTCAACTGTTCCTCTGCACTCTCGTCTTTCCCCTTCTCTCGGTTGGGCAAAGTGAACTTGGCGTCGACCATCTTCACCGTCCACTTCTTGCCTTTGCTGTCACCCTTGTGGGTTTCAAAAACATCAGTCGACTTGACCTGGAAGCAGAGTGCATCTGCATGGCTGAACTCTTCCATGAAGGCCAAGAGCTGAACAATCTGTCCTTGAGATACAATCTGAATGCGTACGCTCTGTGCCTGCCACTTCTTGTAAATCGGTACAACCATGCGTCTTCGTGAGATGTCCAGGCTGGCAGCCATGCCGTCAAAACGCACAGTGCATCCGGTGACGGCCGCTTGGAATGCATGCAGATCCGAGTGGCTTTGAAACGTGAATGTACGAATGGTTTGCTGCTCGAGCACTGTCTTCAGTACTTCCGCGATGCCGTTGACAACTGTAGCATGCGACTGTCTGGTATCAATCGACACGGTCATGTCTTCTTGCGGATCGCGCAGTATTTGCACGCTAGGACTGTCTGAAGGAGGTAAGCGGAGTAGCAGTTCCCCTTTGCCTAGGTTCACACGATCCGTGATACAACCAGTGTCATGTCGGGCCAGTATGCGAAGACTTTCCGATTCGATGGTGGCAGGAAACCTGCTGTTCGAGTCGTCAGGAACACTGTTGGTGATGCCTAATTTCTGCCAATTGAGTTTCTGCAGCGCAACATGTCCTGATTGCGAGAAGCTCAGGGAGGGTGATGCCGGCTCTATGTTGAGGCTTGCCAAGACCATCTTTCCGACAATGCTCTCATCCGACCTGACAGCGAGACCATTAATGATATTGTAAAGGCTTTGTCTGCTGCCAGCGTCCGGGAAGACAAGTAGTATCCTGCACTGTCTTTGTGCTTCCCAGATACGCACGACCATTGCAGTAGTGCCGCCCGCGGCAGAGTCTGTGAGGAACTCAAAGTAGAACGGCGATCTTCCACAAATGTCGTGGCTCACAGCACTCAGCGTCTTGTGCCCGGGATCCGTGACGAGCAACAGGCGGTAGCCCCGGTGTAGCCTCCGTGTCCCAGTGCCACCAACATGCTTGTCTGTGCGCTCAAAAATGAAGGCACTGCACCCTCGAATCTTTTCTGATGGGAACGAGCTCGAATTTGAGGAGTCGACATATTGCAGTTCCGTAAGTCGACACTCGTGGACTAGTCTTTCGTCCGAATTTGGTTGCATCGTCCTTTCTACCTTGCGGGCATATTCTGACAGGTTCCATAGTGCCCGATAGTCACGTTCTTGCATGCGTACACTCAAGTCGAAATTCCTGGGCAAACGTATGGACATGGACGCCGGACTTGCTTCCCACGAGACATCAGACCACGTTAGACCCCGTCGACGATCTTGCTGAGGCATTATTTTGATGTTCACGAGCTCGCTCTGGCTGGCAATAGTGACGCTTGTTTGATAATCATGTCTGCCACGCAGCACGGTAAGCAAGCACGGCAGCATAACGCGGTCGGTTTCCAGATCCTCTGTGTGCAAATATACCTCAACAGGAAATCGTCCATACCAGAAGTGGTCGTTGGTATCATTGAGAGGAAGCACCTCATATGGATCAACAGCTTGTTTTGAATCTTGCACCAGTACTGAGCTGCTGACACTGCCACCGAGCACTGCCTGTACATCAGAGGTAAAGCGTGGGTACTCAATCCATATCTGAGTATTTTGTCCCTGGATCAAAGACGACTCCGGCGGTAGCATGTGGTTCTTCGTGAGCGACAAGGACAAGGTTTTGAGCGAACTCTTCAGGGCAGCAATGCTACGACGGATCATGTTTGCATTGGGATCACTCTCGTGCGCCTCACCATCTGCCATGTCCAGATGGTTCAAGGGGTCTCGCAGTATCCACCACGTCTTTGCAAGGTCAACGTGAGGCTGAGTGAGGAGTTCGCGTCTTTCGTTAGGACCTCTTCGTGCGAACAGTGCTTCTAGACCCGTCTTCCCCGTGTGGTACCACCACAACGCAGCTCGGAGCCACATGGAAGGCGTGCAGCGGTCGCCGGAAAGCTCTTTCTCGGCGGTCAATCGGAAGACACCCCTCATATGTGCTACACGGGCTTCAAAGTCCGCAAAAGCAGCATCGGCAGCTGGATTGTTTTCTGTGGGATTCAGTGACCAAGCCGCAGGTCGACTTAGCGAGTAAGTGGAACTAGATGATAATGGTCTCGGCTTTTCTTCGTGTCGCAAGACTGCTGCTGGCGACTTGCTAGGCGGAGGTATGGTTGTTGCGGCGACATAGTCTTGCGTACGATGCACAGGCAGCGGTGCCGGCGAAGCACCTGTGCGGCCCGGCACCAGCAGTGACGACCTCGGGCTGTTGGCACTTGAAGCTCCGTTCTGGACTCGAGAAGAGTACGGCGGCTGTGACCCAGGGCCCGCTGATTGCATACGCGGTGGTGCACCATCGTCCCGCGAGCTGGGACGAGAATGCGAGCTTCGGTTCGGGAAGCGGTTGACGCTCGAGGATGACCCGTTAGGTTTCGAATAGACCGCAGTCGACTGCTGTGATGAAGTGGAAGCGTCGAAAAGGCGATCGGAGAGACGTGGGGATCTCGAATTGTCGCGTGCATGATCAATAGGAATGGCCATACTGGGTTGTGGTGATGCCCTGGTCGCATATATGCCTCGTAGTGGTGATCGTGGCGGTGGCAGCGGGATCTGCGCGTGATTGTTGACTTCCCGTTCACTCAAATCTTGTCCCAAAGACTGAGTGGGAGGCTCCAGCTGATGCTGGGGAGATGGCGATGCGTCTCTCAAATGCCTTGTTGTATCTTCGCGGTCCGCAACCGGGTTCGGCGCGTCTGGCGTGATTCCGATTTCAGGAGACTGGCTCAATGCCTCAGTCGAGCTATACACGCCAGAATCGCCAGAATGGCGCGCGATAGCTGGGGGCTTATGCGACTCTTCATGCTCACCACTTGAACGTTCGATCTCATCTTCTTCGCTATCTTTTTTCACCAGCATGCTCGCGCGCCTGAAGGCCATTCCCTCATTCCTGGTCATCTCGCGTCGCTTCTGCACCACTGGGGAGCTAGCTTCGTCGCTTGTCGCGCTTTCGGGGGCAAGATGAGCCCTGATGCTGCCGAGTCCAGCTGCAGATGGCCTACCCTCAAACTGGAATTCCGTATCCAGCCTGCCAGGTTGCTGCCGAGAAGGCGGTGGATTGGAGCTTGCACTGTCATCTCCGGGTGTCTGCAGAGTCGTGCTGTTTCCGAGTCCTGTGTTAACCCTTCCAATACTCGGTCGGAGTGGTTCTATATCTCCCACGGGTGGAGCAGCAAGCTTTCTCGAGATTGGCGGCGAGAACTCCCGGTGAGACGTATTTATTCTGCGAATTGGCGGCGCCGCAGGAGTTTCCTCTGGAGGCTGCGGGGGGTATCCTCGAGCTTGCGCCGTTGGCTGGCCATGCATTGGCAGTGCCAGCGATCGTACGGCTGGCGTCGCGTCTGACACTGATCTCCCCATGGCGGCCTTCCTCCGCCCAATCTCTGTTGGCGGATCTGGTGCATCATCACCACCCTCTCCAATGATCTCCGGCGCTGTCTTTGCGAATCCCACAGTCAGCCCTTTCCTCCTCCTCGGCTTGGTGAAAGTCGGTCCATCTGGGCCGGGACTGTCCTCGCCCAATGCTCTGACCTGATGCGCCTCGGGCCACCTCCTTGCTATTGCGATATCCAACTTTGGCTTGCTCTTTTCCGTGCTCGGCTTGAGGAAGTCGACGACATCGTTGTCCAGCGTGAAAGCGCCTGCACGGGCTGGCGCGGGCGGGTCATCCTCGCTCGGTTCTCGTTCTTTCAGCACTTTGACCCATTTGCTCTTCTTCAGGAATCTGCTCGCTTTAGACGTCTTGCTCTCGTCCTCGGCCATGGTGTCCAGCACCAGATGATGGCCAGCTCAGTCGCGCAGCAAAGAGGACGGGCGCCTGGCGCGTTCCTCGCGTGTCACTCCCAGCTTCCTGCATAGGCAGACACTAACACGACACACGACGCATGCACGCAACGAGAAGGACCCTGAGACATCGACCAAGTCGCGCGTGAGGTGCGTGAGTGTGAGAGTGTGAGAGTGGAAGAGTGAAATGGTTGATGTCTGAGTGGTCGGTCTCTCTCGGCGTGAATAATCAAGGTCGACACAGACACGCAATGCCCATCGCGAGGAGTTATGCGGCAGGATGGATGAACGACCCAGGATGTTGCTTGCAATTCACACGAAGAAGGGACATACCTTACATGTAGTAGTAAGGTCAGGTCAGGTCAGGGCAGGTCAGGTAGGTAGACAGTTGCCAAGCCGCATGCGTTCTGCGACACGAAGTCAATAATCGAACATGCTCCCGTCCTTCCTCTGTGGAGTGGTGACCGACCAGCAGCTCGTTCTCACGATCGTCGTGGGAACACACCACCGTGCTCGGCGGCTAGACAACAATACAGGCACGCGCGCAAGGATGCCATTTATAGTTCTGCGGCAATACGGGACCTACAGGCTTGACACACGCCTAACCACCTAGTCGCTGCTAGTCTTGCACTCGTGCTGCCCGCATCCCCACCACCACCACGAGTCCACGAGTCCATGACTGCCTCAGTCTGGAAGGAGGAGGTATCGTGCAACGCGCTTGTCTTCACCGGCTATAGGTGCGGTGCGGTACCAGGTGTGGCTGTAGGGACTTCTTCTATGTGAGGCGAGGTTCGACTACTCCTTGTTGTATGCACCTTATGATGCCCGCGGTAGGTTTGGGAACACGGATGCAAAAACATGTAATTAAATGCCCTTCCTTCCGGACATCCCTATCGTGACCGTTTGGTTGCGACCATCGCCCAACGAACGGCATCTGGCATCTGCAGTCTTGCTAGGATCTAACAAATTTGTTCTTTTGCCCCGAAGTCCTGACGAGGTTGGTTTTTTGAGCGACCTGGACCCCGCTGGGCACTCCGCACTCACTGCCACTCAGGTCCTTCCAGGTTCCATCTTACCTTAGCTATCTATAAAGGCTATAGTAAATCATGGTGCTGATAACGCTCTGCTGCCACCGTGACCGGAGCGGCGGAGAGTGAGTGACAGCATACGGTTTCATGCAGGTACATGTACGGGCACGTTAATTTCGGTCGGTGTCTTGATACATCAATCGAGAAATCAAGAACGCAGGTGCACTGGAGAGACTCGTGAGCCCTGCATCGTCCAGCTGCAACCGACGACTATTATTTTGTTACCTGCTCCTAGCTGCGTCCATGCAGGACCACTGGCAAAGACGCGACTGATACAGTATCGAGAAATAGTACGACCGTCATGTGACGACGTTAGTGAGCGGGTCGATTTTGCGCTTCCCGTGCGACCTTGAGAGGCCCGCCTACATGTAATTTACCTACTAGGTGTGCAACGCTACATGGGACATGCCAACATGGTTATTTCAGCGGAAAAGTCTCAACGAGGTAGGACAGTCAGTGAAAACGTATAATATGAACGGGGAGAGAAAAATCTCATTTCATGATATGCAGTCTGCTTTTGAGTCTGCCAGCCGTGACTGATAGAGTGCAATCGTTTGAGCCCATGCCACACTGCCTTTGTAACTTGTCATCGTCTGGACTTATCCGCTGTCCACACGCATCGCTCTCGCGCCTTAGTTGGCACCTGCGCCAACAATTGTTGGGATACCCTCCTTGTACTTGATGGCACCAGAGCTGGAGCCGCAAGCCTCAATCGACTTCACGGCACCGATGCCCTCGAGATCGCTCTGCTTGACCTCGCCGAAGACGACGTGGCGGCCGTCGAGCCAGCTGGTGACGACAGTGGTAACGAAGAATTGCGAGCCGTTGGTGTTTGGGCCGGCATTGGCCATGGAGAGGAGGAATGGCTTGTTGTGGGTGAGCTTGAAGTTCTCATCGGCAAACTTCTCGCCGTAGATGGACTTTCCACCAGTGCCCTGTTGGATGGCGCGTTAGTCGTATGCTCCGAGGGACATTGGGAAGTCTGTCAGGTTCTGCTCTTACGTTACCACGGGTGAAGTCACCTCCCTGAAGCATGAACTCTGGGATGACACGGTGGAACTTGGAGCCCGAGTAGCCGAAGCCCTTCTCGCCAGTGCAGAGAGCGCGGAAGTTCTCGACAGTCTTTGGGACGACGTCGTCGAAGAGGTCGAAGTTGATGCGGGCAGAGCGTGCTACAGAGGATATCAGCATCGGTGCTCTGTGCCTTCGGGGAACGTGTGCATCGACGACATGCTGGGCCAACTTACGCGCAATGCTAGTATCCTGCTCGACGACCTTGCCGGTGGAGTCGACCTTGAGGAGAGGCCCAGTCCAGGTCACATCGAAGTAGGCGGAGACGGTCATTCTGGCGGTAGAAGCGTGGAAGGATCGATTGAAAGTTGGTTGTTGAAGAGATTTGAAGGCTTTGGAGAAGGTGGTGGTTGTTGTTCGAGAAAACATCATGGCGGAGGAAGCTTTTCAACTGAGGGGCACATCAGCACAACATGGATCATCACATCGCGTACCCCACCTCGCAGCCTGAGGCGTCAAGCCGGAAGTGACGAGAAGAGCGAAGCCGGAATAATGCATAAGGTAAGGTCAGGTAATAGTGACAAGTCATCACCCAACAGGATCGCTGTAAGCTTCCACTCCCGTTCCACGTGCTGCGCTGCGGCGGCATCCATCTCATCGCATCGCATCGCGTATCCCGTTGAGCGAGGTACACATGCTGATGATGGCAGAGTGCATTGCAGATGGAAAAAGGCCTCGGAGATCGATGATTGATGCGGATTGGGTTGGTTGGTGGTGACATACCTGTACAGGTCAAGTGGTCGCCGGTCGGGATTTTCTGTGCTGCTGCATAGGGAGGTATTCTCAGCTGAATGCGGAAGTCCAGGGCAGTGACCGGTATCGATTGTCAAAGAATCGAGCAGAGAGAGCACTACGTACCAGGTTACAATGCCACGCAATATATCCTACAATTATTGTACAAATAATGGTCTCGTCAAGAAGAGTGGTTGATGATGTTCTGATGGAAACAGAGTGTTCGGGGTTACAGGTACATATTTGCCTTTGCCAGAAAGCGTCGGGTGGACGCACTGGCCTCCTTCTCAAGTAGCTGGTCCGCGAGTGCTGCCTCACAACAGCCAACTATACCTACCGCACCGCGCCCCTGTCATTGTTCACCATACTCTCTCCCCGTCTTGCTCTACAACTCCGCGATGGATCTCAAGAGCCTACAGGATGCGGCCGCGAACCTCACGCTCTACGACCTCAAGGCGGGCGTGCGCAAGGTTCAAAATGGTATGCTCGAGCACTCCTATCGTCGACCATGAGGTGTTGCTGACGCTCGCGTACAGCTGTCATGAATTACACAGAGATGGAAGCCAAGGTCCGAGAGGCTACCAATAATGAACCTTGGGGGGCATCGTCGAGCATGATGCAAGAGATTGCCAATGGCACGTTCAACTAGTATGCGATGGCTGACTTCAACGCAACAACAGGACAGACGCTGACAACAAGGTAGCCAACAGCTCAACGAGATTATGCCCATGATATACAAACGATTCACAGAGAAGTCGGCAGAGGAATGGCGGCAGATTTACAAAGCGCTGCAGCTCATGGAGTTCTTGATCAAGAATGGCTCGGAGCGGGTGATTGACGACGCGAGATCACACCTCTCGCTCCTTAAGATGCTGCGACAATTCCACTACATCGATCAAAACGGCAAGGACCAGGGTATCAATGTGCGGAATAGGAGCAAGGAACTTACTGAGCTCCTGGGCGATGTGGACAGAATAAGGACGGAGAGAAAGAAGGCGCGCCAGACAAAGAACAAGTACGGAGGCGTAGAAGGCGGCGCTGGAGCTGGCTTGAGCGTCGGCTCTTCTGGTGGCAGATACGGTGGATTCGGAAGCGAAAGCGCTGGCTATGGGGGCGGAAGCTCTACATTTGGCGGCAGCTCAAGGACAGTCTATGGTGATGGAGGAGGATTTGGCGGTGAGGCTGCTACCGACGAGTACGACGAGGGACCTGGACGTGGCGGGGCGGATAAATTCGACGAGTACGACGAGTACGATGATGGCGGTGCCCAAGCACGGCCTGGCAGACGGAAAGGAGACGCCGCTGCGCAGCGTGCAACCTCGAAGAAAGCTGCAGCACCAGCACCAAAAGCCAAAGAACCCGAGGTGGATCTTTTCGACTTTGGAGACGAGCCAACGACGACCTATACAGCCCCCTCAAATGGTGCAGCAAGTTCTGCCGCGATTCTGTCACCGCCAGCATCACAGGCGACCGCAGTGATCGACGATGACGAGTTTGATGAGTTCCAGTCAGCCACACCAGCCCCAGCTGCTCCAACTGCATCTGTCAAAGTAGCACCCTCGATCCCAGCGCCCAACTACAGCTCGTTCTCAACAGCTGCGCCGTCCTCCACAACACAGTATGCGCAACCTACGCCGCAATCAAGTGGCCAGAACGCTGCTTTCAGCAACATTTTCTCAACTACCTCGCCGCCTCCGAGCAGCACCAGTACACCAATTGGAAACATCTCTGCGCCTAAGCCTGGAGGTTACCAACCGTCAGGGCCAAACTATTTCCAGTCGGTCCCCGTGCCTAGTCAGGCCACCGGCGGCTCTTTCAGTTCGCAGGTTAAGTCACCTGGGGCGGGTCAAATTGGCGCAAAGACTGGAGCGAGATCTGGAGGTGGTGACGCCTTTGCAAGTCTTCTCGGTGGTAGTGGGCTCAAGAGCAAAGGAGTTGCACAGAAAGGCCCGACAATCGCAGATATGGCAAAGCAAAAGAGCCAGGCCGGGCTCTATGGAGCAAACGCACCGACCGCTGCACCTTTCCAGCAGCAGAAGCCAAACACTGGTAGCAGTGGACTGGATGATTTGCTTGGGTAGGAGTAGCAAGAGCGCTTGTGGGCGTTTCTGTAGAATTTGCGATATCATATAAAAGGATTCGTTCGCGATTCTCTTGTTTCAATTGGCCCATTCAAGATTTGTTTGTACCTAGGTAAGTAAGGTAAGGTCACTATAAGGCGCGCCGCCTGTCTTTTTCACGATGGAATCTTAAAACACCTCCGTGGTCCCGTCGGGGCTCGGAAGATCCCGTGCAGTGCACACTCAGTTTTCGAGCCTTGGCGTTGTGGAGAGGCAGATGAACTTCCAACATCGCACATTTCTCAGACTACGGCGCCGATAATTCCACCACATCACCCAACGAAATCCCTCAAATACCACCTCCACGATGTCGGCCAACAAGCGCGGCGGTACTTCTGGTCAGAAGCTGAAGATGACCCTCGGTCTTCCAGTGTAGGTCCATTTGCAGTCCAACCGCACCAAACGGCACCTTCCAGCCCACTACTCCGCTACGAATTCGAATGCGGTTCACAGAAAAGCACGAGAGGCAGCAAGAGCAACGCGCATGGACACAGCTTGGAAGAAGGGACAATTAACTGACGCACATCTCTCTACAGTGGTGCAGTCATGAACTGCTGCGACAACTCGGGCGCTCGTAACCTCTACATCATCTCCGTCAAGGGCTTCGGTGCCCGTCTCAACCGTCTGCCCGCCGCAGGTGTCGGTGACATGGTCATGGCCACCGTCAAGAAGGGAAAGCCAGAGCTGCGCAAGAAGGTCATGCCTGCTGTTATTGTGCGTCAGAGCAAGCCATGGAGGAGAGCCGACGGCATCTACCTCTACTTCGAGGACAACGCTGGTGTCATTGTGAACCCTAAGGGTGAGATGAAGGGTTCAGCCATCACTGGGCCTGTGGGTAAGGAGGCTGCCGAGCTTTGGCCGGTGAGTAGAAAGCCCTTATTGTCCAGAATGATTTGAAGATTGGTGGATTTGCTGACGTTCTTCCTTCCGGTATAGCGTATTGCCTCCAACGCTGGAGTTGTGATGTAAACGGGTCTTTTGCTGCTGGGATGCTTTAAGGAATGGAAATGTCATGCATGGGAACAAGCAGGCGCTGCAAGAGACAGCCGCGAGTTAGGCCACCCTGCATTACGGCGCTATGATTGGCACAGGTTCCTGGTCTCACATACAGATCACGCTTCACGAGTTTCAAATAGCACGCCGCTTCACATTTTCCACAAAGCTGTTTGCTGGGTTCTATTCAGGGTGCTCTTTTTGCCCTGAAGGTCAACAGTCAACACATGGGAGGATCCATTGTCACAAGTCAATGATAAAAAAAATACCTACTTGAACCACCAGCCCTGCCATCTTTTGTCTGCCGCGCTGACTCCGTGCTCCGACATAGACAGCCTTATTCGAGTGACGCGAGACATCACCAGTACTGTCTTGATTCATTGATTTGACAGTGGGACAGGTATGAACGACGTGGAAAGAGTGAAATATTGCGCATTAATATGGGCCACGCCAGTGACTTCAGCCGGTCCCGGGAGCTTCGATCGACGGGCTATGGGATCGGTAAGATGCTCCTACTATCGACCGAAATAAGAATAGATTCAGGGATCACATTGGTACTTCACTGCGCGTAATCTCACAATCCCAAAGGCACAACCAGACGTCGGACACAACAGGCACGTCGAGAAGGATAGCGCCCATGACCGAAAGATCCGGAGACATGGTACAAGTCTGCAGATTGCGCGAAGAAGGACCCGTCTGAAGAAAAATACAGTAATGCAGGTACATATAACTCTTCCGAGGATCACCTATGAATTTGCAGTTGCTCAGCAAGCATGCCTCAGGTACATGTAGGCAGGATTCCGCAGAGACCTAAGAGTCTACTGTAGGACGCGTTTTCTCGCTCAGCAATGCTCAATTCCTCATGCGCGCGAGTCAATCAACGTGTCTGACGGCGATGATGCCTATTGAGCCTCGTTATTCTGATTGGCTCGGAACAAAACGCGATTGCGCAGTCGGCTACGGGTCGCGTGAGGGGTTGCTTTTCAATAATCAACACTCGATCGACACGGACGATGTCACGATGGATGCTGAGATCGTGAACAAGCCAATCTGGTGTTGCCCAGGCATTTGCCCGGTCCAACAGCCCGATAATACCATGTCGGACATGTTCGCGCAGCGCCAGTCATTATCCTACCGTGCAGGACCTTCATCGCAGCCGAGATCTCGGGACGATGTTGCCGCCAGATACGCAACATCCTCGTGATGAGGCCTACGGATGATATCAGTGTAGCCTGTGTAGGTAGATGACCGACCCATCAACACCCTTTAGAGTGTGATCTTGGGGATTTGCCCAGGCTGACGATGCCGGGTTCCTACTCCCTATCTCATGGATCAGGCCCACTAACAGTACAGACTGTTCGCCGGATCGCCACTGGATAGCAGAGAGCCGCCGGCGACCTCGGGTCCTCCTGCCTCGACTGCTGCCTCTATATAACTTACTTACATGTAGCTGCCAGCCCGAAAATGTATAATAACGGTCGTCAGGGTGGCAGACTGGCAGCTGATCATGAATCCAGCCCTATGTGTGGGCCATTCGCGTCCTGAAGAACATTTTATTTCCTGCAGGACGAACGCTCGATGGTGACCACCTCTACTAGGTACTAGGAGGTATACTATCCTTGCCTTTCACTTGCTGCATTACCTATGCAGGAACAAGATGACACAGTTTACACTAGTCGAGCCGAGAATTCTCCGGGGTTCCCTGACAGGTGTCGTTGGCCGCAGATAGAGAGTGCCACGTGCTGGCACATCCAGGGACGTCCCACGGGGCGCTGTAATCGCCAGAACAGCCATCACACACGCACATCAATTGTCTCCTCATGCCTTCTGCAGTATCGTCATGGGCAGCAGAAGGCAGCAGCCCCACAGTCCCCCACTTGGACGTTTTTGAAGGCTCGAAAGCAAGGGATCGATCGACAACGTGCATTGTGAGATGAAGACAGGCCTGGGGCAAATGAGGCTTCGCAAGGAAGAGGCTCCCCGCCGTATCCCGACAAAATGATACAAGAAGTCGGTGTCTCTATGATCGGGGATGCGACGAATGGAAGTCCTGCCTCTTCGAGAAGGTTTCCGCTGGGAACAACGAGTGGAAGAGTCCTTGATGAGCCGGCGTATGCCCACTTTAGCGTGATGATAAAATGTGTCCGTCAACTTTTTTTGCCTCCATACACGTTCAGCAGCAATGGATCCTCACAAAAGCTCACTGCGGCGACGATACCACAAGCTCGCCCACCTGAAGTTTCGAGACCAGCGCGACAGAAGAAGAGACACCCCCATCACCGGGAGTCCTCCCCTCCAGATATCGATTCCCAACTTCGGGGAGCCCATTCACACTTCTGTATGTCTTGCTTTGCCTAGACGCATCACGCACAACTAATTGTGCTCGCCCATCAGTTCGCAGACATTCCTTCCTATGAGGACTCTGCTTCTAAGACTCCACCAGTAGCGCTGGCGAGGGAGATTGCTTCACTGTCGGTTTCGGATGATTCTGGAGAGTCGTCAGACCACCTTCGTCGCTGTGATAGTTTGCCTACTATGCCTGTTCGAGCCTCCGCTACGTCGTCTGACAATGCTATGAGAGGTGGTGGAGAGCTCGAAACTGACCATCCGGGATTGTCTTTCGACTTGTCCCCGCTCGACGACCGTCCTGGAACGGGCGGCCTGGACATGCAGCATACCGCACGATTGAGGTAGGAATCGATGGGACTTGAATGCAGCAAGTAGCTCTCCGCTAACCTTCCATCAGCCCGGTCAGTATGCCTTCCCGTACGCAAACACCCAATCTCGAAGAGCATTCGGACCACTCAAGAATCGATACGCCACCTCTTCCTCCGCAATTTCAGGTGCGGAGAAGGAGGCGGAGTCTGGAGAGGCTCCATGTGCGGCGAAACTCCCCCAGCGTCACCCGTGGCAGGTATTCGGACCCGTACCAGGTGCTACTCCCACTGCAGTCTTTGGTTCCAGATAACAGCGATGCACACGAAGCTGAACTAACAAGTACTGACGACCCGGGATCGTGGAACGTCATCAACCCGGCGCAAGCAGACCTTGGGTCTGGTATGTATTCACTGGAGCAGAGAGCGGAGCTCCTGTTTAGCGCGGATCATTTGCGGGTCATCCTCGAGGAACCAAAGCTCTTGTTCTCTCTTTCCGAGTTTCTGAAAGTACATCGACCCTGGAGACTCACACTGCTTCAGTACTACTGGGACGCAGTAAAAGCACTCCGGGCGATGAACTTCGCCCGCGCGATTTCCGACACGTTATCAGAAAGACCGCTTCCATGTATCGGTAGCGCTGCGACTCTTCCATCAGTGACCATCGACGCCAGACTCGCTGAAGCTGCTAATGAAGCTTTTGATGACTTGGTCCGAGAGGATTTGGCAGCTTACATTGCCCACGTCTACACCCGTATCGTGAGCAACAGCGTCCATCGTCGGATCACCGGGTCGTTGGCAACTCACCTACGAGAAGCGAGCCATGGACTAGCAGAGGTCTTCGTCCTCACAGACCCGACTCGACATGATCAGCGTGAGCTTGGCTGTTTCCGTGTCGTGTGTTACTTCGCTGACATGATATAGCCATCATTCTTGCCTCGGAGGAATTCGCGCTGACAACCCAGTACGGCCTCAGACATGTCATAGGGCGAAACTGTCGATTCCTACAGGTACGCTCCCCCAACTCTATAACTATGTATGCTCATGCACTCATGATCTCCAGGGCCCCAAGACGAACCCACACTCGGTACGGCGACTGGCCATTGCATGTGCCGAAGGAAAAGATCACATGGAATTGCTCGTCAACTATCGTAGAGACGGCACCCCATTTTTGAATTTACTGATGATTGCACCGCTCCGGGATAGCAAAGGCATTGTGCGGTACTTTCTGGGAGCACAAGTGGACGTTTCCGGACTTCTCAAGGATGTCAGTTCCCTCGAAAGTCTTCGTAGACTAGTGGCGAACCACACCAAGCCGGAGGATAGCTGCAAACCTGCCAAGGTCAACCGGTTGCAAGCCATGAAAGACTTGAGTCTCATGCTTGGCGGCGATGAGCTCGACGTGGTCCGACAATACGGCGGATATCTGAATCAAGGCTATAGTCACTTGCACGATACCGCGCCACCGCCAGTCATGCGCAAGGAGAGAAGCCGCATCCTCTTGCAGGGCGATGATGAAGATCCCACAGAGGATGACAAGGCTTCCTCCGGGCGCGAGGATCACCAAGAGCCTGATATCACACAAGATATGCTGTACAAGCGTCTGGAAAGTGTGTATAAGAACGTAAGTTTTGTCACCGTCTTTCGTGCGAATGAAATTTTCCCTCGCTAATCTGTATCGGAACAACAGTATCTTGTCGTTCGACCGGCGCCCTCGTTGCGGATTCTCTTCGCCTCGCCATCACTTCGTGTACCAGGCATGCTCCAGACCCATCTATTGCATCGCATCGGCGGCAACTCCAAAATCCGAGTCGACTTTGAGAAATCTCTCCGAACCGGCAATGCCGTCACTGCCCGCGTCCACTGGTTGAGCGTGCCCAACCGCTACGGCGATGGCATCGGTCGCATGCGATGGCTCCATTGCACACCCCTCCTCCATCACTCCGGAGCCGTGGGAGTATGGGTAGTGATTGTTGTGGATGAAGACGATGAATCGACCTCTTCCTCGAGCCGGAGCAACTCCCGACTCGCGGCGCCTCCCATTCGGTCCAACGGCGTCATGAGTCCAGACCCGCACAATAGCGAACGGTTGGCGAAGCTGGAAAAGGACTTCAATATCCGTCCGAGGGCAGAGACACCTTTCTTATGATAGTTCTGCTTCCTCGGCCTACGTCGTAGAAGCGAGAAAAGACAAAGAAAGGAAAGTAGGAAAACGAAACGAAATTCTTTTGTTATGCCTATACCACGAGGATTCGAAAAAACTTCTCCATTTCTTCATCCTCCTCGAGCGATGGATGCAGAGTTGCAGATTCTCTTTCCCAGAATTCTGGACAACAAAAAAACAAATGTATGAATAATAAATATGTTACATTAATAATTTTTTTCTTTTCTTTTCACGAAATACATTTTTCCAGAAAACTAGCTATTCATATTTGTGTTAAGTTCTTTTTCTTGACATTTGTAAGATAGAGACCATCACCATTACCATCACCATCACCATCCTAGGTCAGCTACAGCAGTACAGCACCGTACTATATATACACATATACATATATAATCCGCCGAATACAGCGATAGCGAGGGAAGGGGGCAAGGACAAGGAGCCAACTTCGTATTCCCTTTCTTTTTTTCTTTTGGACCTGTCACTTTTTTTCACGATGTGATGATGGGGTAGTGGAACTCTTGGTGGGTGGGTGGGTACCTGTACGGATGTACCTGTACCTGTACCTGTACTTGTGCCTAGGTACACAGTCCTTCCACCTCCGTTCGATAGTCTATCCGCACCTTGAAAATTACCCAAGAGGTATAAGTTCCCGGATTTTAGGTGCAGAATACCTGGCGAGGATCAAGAAAGTGGAGTTACTGCACCTTGTAAGCGGCGAAATAAAGGTGTTTCACGATTTTGACCCCGGTGAGGATCAAAAAACACGTCCTCCTATACGCTGGACAGGGGGGTGCGGATGGACTATCGAACGGCTGTGGGAGGTGTATGCGCCAGGGCTAAGGGCAGACCCCAAAATGTCTAGTCGCAGACCCCATTTCTGAGTTATCAAGTTATTACCGTACCCTTACGACATTACCTTCCTAGTAGCTATATGTACCTTCTTATTCTGGCTTCTGTAGCTTTACTTTATATTACACCCCGAAGGATACCCCTCTCGATTCTTAGCCCCCCTTAGGGGGTTGGGGGGGCAATCTAGTCGGTGCCCCCGAGGTATTTGCTTTTTGCTACGAAGAAAAAGCAAAAAAGCGAAAAAGCGGAGGCCTTCGAGCGAGGGAGACAGCGAGGGAGACGGCGAGGGAGGCGCGTTGTTTTTCGGGGGGTAGGGTTATAGCGGAAGGGTACGGTAATAACTTGATAACTCAGAAATGGGGTCTGCGACTAGACATTTTGGGGTCTGCCCTTAGCCCTGGCGAGGTGTATGTACCTGTACCTAGAGCCTAGGTAGGTAGTATGAGGTAGTGGGTACAGATGATGTACAACAAGACTTTCCTTTTTCGGAACTAATTGATTTGATTGATTAATGCCGAGGCACATTAGGTCCTAGGAGACGGGAGGTATCATGTTTCCACATTTTTTCTTAAGGAGAGAGAGATCAGCTTGTCTCCACAAGTTTTTGCTTCTTCTTGTTTTGTCTCATTCGGTTCTTGTCTTGGTTTGGTCTTTTTTTGGTTTGGTCTTGTTCTGCATGGAGGGCGGGGCGTACATCGCGGCCTCTCTCGCGTGGATGCATGTTTGTCGGTTGTCGGTTAGTTGATGTGTGATGATGATCTGTGATTCCTGTGAAAAATATCACGTTTTTCGCCCTGTTGTATTGTATATAGGAAGTTTTGTACTACATACCCAACTATGTACAAATCTGCCATGCGTTCGGAGACTCGGTCAATGCCAACCATCACGCACTCCTCGTACGGAGAATTCGGGCCTTGACTCAGAAATGTTTCCCCCAACTTGGCGTTTGGCTGCATGGCTGATAGAATGCTCGAGGATTGGATGCTTCGTTAGGGGGAAAAACTAGTCAGGAGGTACAGTATGTATGTACCTGTTCTCAGTCAGGTACTGTAGGAGGCTATTTTTCGTTTGCAACGCCAGACGCCTCTTCCATCACATTGGCTAGCGTGATGAGTGTGGGAAAAGAAAGTCGTTTTCCAAGGCGAGGAGAGAGGTCTAGATGGGATTCGCCAAAGCAGTACTAGTAAGTGGCGGCAGTGGATGTTAATAAAGTGGCCCTTCGCAGGTATGGAGAAGGAGGATGGGGAAGAGTCGGTACCTTACTGTATACTATTGCTTGTCTCTTCATACTACCTCCACTCACTATGCGTTGCGAATTGGGAGTTGTTGTCTTTGGATTGGTGGGAGCTGTTGCTGCTGCTGCTGTTCCTACGTTGACTAAGCCTGTGTCGACGATTGACTCTCGACAGACTAACAAGCAGAGGACTGCGGGTATGTACCATCTCGTGCTGTATAGGTATTGGACCTTGGTTGCTAAGAGGAAATGAAATTATTACCTACAGTCTCAACGTCTCTCTACAATACTCTGATGTTCTATGGCCGATACGCTGCAACATACCCTCAAGCACCATGCCAGACACCACCTACAGGCACAGTCGTGCAAGGCTTTGCGAATGCAGACCCCGATACCGAGATGACACTTTTCCGCGATGACTCTCGACGAGAACTCATTCTGACCTTTCCCGGTACTGCCAGTCTCGGAGACCTCGTGACCGACATCTCGGCTGTCATGGTGCCAGCGACGATCAAAGGCGTGAACTGCACTGCTTGTCTTGTTCATGGAGGCGTTTTAAAATCTTTCAATGCGATCCAACCGGCGACACAGAGCGTTCTGGATACGGCTATTGCAGCTTATCCAAGCTATAAACTCATTCTCGCTGGCCATTCGCTGGGCGCTGCATTGACGAAATATGCATATGCGAGCTTCAAGAGCCAGGGCTACAATATTTCTGCAGCGTACTCGTATGGAGAGTTTAGGAATGGCAATCAGGCGTGGGCGGACTTTGTTGATGGTCTTTCTGGCAATACAGATGATAATCAAGGTCCTTATTATCGAGTCACGCACGCTGATGATGGTGTGCCGCAAGTCTTGCCGACGCTGACGGGGTGGCATCATTCTCGGAGCGAGTACTGGTTCTCCAAAGGTGCGGATGGTCCTTCGACGACATTTCGGTGTTATGGCCAGGAACCCAGTGATTGTGAGTGGAATCGAATCTTTTGCGTAGTCTACGAGAAATTGTTGCTGATATGTATACCACCACAGGCAACAACTCGCAGCTGGGGATTGGCGTGGTTGGCATCAACCTTGCGCACATTTTCTATCCCGGCATCAACGTCACTGGTTGTGGAGGTTTCTTCTAGGTGTAGAAAGATCTGCTTGAATTTGAGCATGTCCCCAACTTGTCGCATGTGAGTGGGAGCAGCCAGGTACAGTATTGCCATAAGGTAGCAGATGCCGCCATTCGTCCCAGTTTTGGATTGAGGATTGTGGATTGTCCTGTTGTTCTTGTTAGAAGACCGGAGTTGAAGGAGGTTGAAAAGGGGCCAAAGACAGCCCGGAGTGGTCCGACTAGGTCCAATTTCCATGACAACGCGACGGAGCGTGTCAGATGGAGCATTATTGGGAAAAGGACTTTGTGAACTCGTGACAGGACTATGGTGAAGGCTGGACACGACATATATCAATATCATATAAATAAATAAACAAACAGACAAATAAATCAACAAACAAACAAGTAAATATCATATTTGAGAGGGAACGACTGAGTCGTTTTCGGAAAGCTTGAAAGTTGACCATGTCGTCGACGTCAGGAGCGTCCGGACTAGTACTGTTCCTACCTATATACACACCTCATAGAAATATTAGAAATACCTGTATATTCCAACTACACCTCAGGTATGCATCACTCACTCACTCACCCTCAACTCCATCTACTGCCATCACGTGTAAGCTACAGCAGGTAGTCGGAAGACATGGCTTCTTCTGCCTTTGTCTTGCACCGCCTACCACGCATCATTGCGAGAACGCGACCATCTTCATCATTGACGCCGCTGCGGAGAGCGCTGTCGACATTGCCTAACAATCCTCACATTGTATGTCATATTTCATGATATGCTGCAATATTGCTTCCATCCACCCGCTAATACCTACCTACTCACCCACAGTACGTTCATGATGCCCCCGACTCGACGCGTCACAAGATCCTCTCCTACCTGCCCAATGAACCCACCATCGCCTCTCTCGCCATTGGCACTACCACGGAGATCCCACCGACTCCCAAATCCCTCGTCGAGAATCCTCAATTCTTGCAGATTCTGCACTGGGTGATCAAAGATCATGCCGTCAACGATCCAGACGTGCAAGCGCAAGCTGCCATGTATGCGTCCCAAGCCGGCAGCGCCCTCGGTAGCGGCGGCACCTTCTTTCCTGCCAACCACCCATCACAGCAGCGACAGCGACGGAAGACCAAGACCAAAGAGTATGGTGGAGGAGGTGGCGGAGATGCCGGAGCGAGTGCACAGGGCGGTATGGGAGGTGCGGGCAGAGGAGGGTACATTCATGTCAGTGACCAGAGGTACCCGCCCGACTTTGGACGGGTTGCGTATCCCGAGGATATATTTGGCAGTCTTGAACTGGACTCGACGGGAAATTTTGTGGACGGTACCGGACGCTATCAGGCTGGCAATACTTACCGGGTCGTGACGCATGAAGGAATTCTGGGACTCAGCGCATACTTGCGGGAGCGACTGCTGGAAAAGTTACGTGAGCTCGATGCGCAGGCTCGGCAGAATGCGTAGGAGGCGCGTGCAGTGCTGTTCCTTGACACTCGACGATATGTGAGTGTGCGTGTGGACGGGTTTTCCTTGCCCATGGCTCGATTGTTAGCTGCCAGAGAGGAAGAGTGGCGAACCAAGGCTTTTGGTCCTGTTACGGCACGACCAATTGTGTACTCCCGCTTTGCTCAAAACTTCCCGATGGTGCTTGAAAACCTTCGTAGCCACTGCTTCCAAGCGATACGCAAGTGGTGATTGCACCAGAGACCTGCGTCATGCTGTCGGTCTGGTCGAACGATGCACAGCCCATGAATGTTTCTAGTGGTACGCCGTGGCCCGCTGGAATTGAATACTTTGACTTCCCCCTTTAGAGATCCGGAGAGGCAATACCGTGGCAACGCCAGTCGACGGCGAAGCTTATGGACGGCGAAGAAACATAAGAAAGACAAGCGATTATCAGTCGTGCGTGGGAACTCTTCAACGCATTCACTCCTCTGCTCGCACTGTTATCTAATCTTGTGGCGCGAATTGTGAAGATTATCGTCATCTGAAGACATTGAGGCTTTCCAACTGCCGCCCAATCGCCACACCAGCTGCTCTGCACGTGTCAGTGAAGTTGTAACCCTGGGTGAAGCAAAGGCTTTCACGACTTGTTGACAAGTCCAACCCCAAGTCCAACTCGAACTTCAACTCCAACAACACCGCCTTGGAGTTCCATTACCACCCCAACTTTAACAACTTCCAACCCCACTCCATATCTTTCTCCGATGCCGGGATTGGTGGCTCCTGATGCTCCCGCATCACCTGTACACGCATTGACTGCGAGGGGACAAGGCCGAGCGGATATGAGCACTCGAACCACAGCCTTTTACGGCGGGAATCCATTTCTCTACGAGCCGGATCGCCAGGGCCGACGACACTGGCGTCTGGACCGACAGAAACCTCCAGGAGATGCTTACGATGACCACCCTCTCGTCCCAGCACATTGGTCGGTTTCCCCCGCAATGACACAAGTCGACGACGCCTATCGGTATGATACAAGGTGTGACCGACTGTCGCAATGGACACCCAAGATGCACACAGTCAACGAACTCGCCGACGAGGTACTTCGCGCGCATGGCGTCCCTGATGTGGGTCGTCGCGGGCTGTACATTTGTGGCCACATGGCGGACGTCGTATACAGTCCCGATGCCAATGGCAAAGACCGGAATAGCGACCGAGAGCGAATCATGGTCTTTGTGATTGAACTGTCTCGCGCAGATCGTCACAAGTGGCGGGATATGCATGAAGAGTTGGTCGAGGTGTTGGTACGTGCCGGAGTCCGCGACTACCATGGAGTACCGATTCGGTATTTTGAGCTCCGAACATCCATCTCACTCACCGCCGAGCCAGAACCTTTGGACGGCCTTGAGCAAGATCCCGCGGAAGAGAGCGTGGAAAGTCCAACTTCCCCTATGTCCAGTGCAGCGATGCCTGCTTGGGCCACATCAGCTCCGCCTGTGCGCCCAGCGCCACGGTCATTGCAGACGTTCGCTGAGGCTCATGAATATGTGATGGGAAGAAGTCGTGAATATATGCAGCATAGAAGTCAGGAGCAGGAGAGGAATGTGGGCAGTGGGAATGCTTTTTTCTCGCGAGACCCTCGACTGCAAGACCCTCGACTTCGACGCAATCAATGACGTGGGAGAAGGGGGCAGGAAAAGGATGCGAAGAATGGCAGTTGTTGTGGCAAAAGGATGTTTCAAAAGACGGGCGTTGATACACCATCCACTGTGTTTTTTTCCACAGTGGTAAGGTAGTAGATGGGTAAATGCCGATTACATTACAGAGCGGATCCGTCACGTTAATTAGGTGGTACTTGTGCAGTTTTTTTTAGAAACGCTCTTTTTTCTTCTTCCTCTTCCTCTCTCCCTCTCTCTCAATCCATAAACTCAACCGTCCTCTTCGACGCTCACAATCCACAGACTCCCGAAGCCACTCGTGTGACAGTCGCATCAATAGCACCCAACTCCACCGCTCTCCCCCCCGTCAAAGTATCCATGGCCGCCTTGGCCAAATTCATCCCATCACCCGCACGATCAATTCCGATCACATTGATGGTTTTTTGATTATACGTTACTTGATAACATGCTCCACACTATTTTTCACCGTATCAAATCAGCACAAAACATCCCAATCCCCCCATACTAATCGCCTCCAAGATATGGTAGGAAAAAGAAGGAAAGAAACTCACCTGCGCACTCCCCCATCCAGCAATTTCGAAACTCCCTCCAATATTAGGAAATCCAGGAATTTGACCTTGAGTTTGGAAGCCGTGGGTCGTGATGAGGCCGTTGGGGCCGTCGCTGCAGGCGACGGATGTGAGACTTCGGGAGGGGTCGTCGTAGCCTTCGTCGTAGCTGACGCGGATGGCGGAGACTGTTGCTGCGAGGAGGAGGAGGGAGAATTGCATTTTTGTTGTTGGGGTTGGGTTGGGTTGGATGGTGGATGGTGGATGGATGGGTTGTTCTTGGTGATGTTGTTTGTTTGTTGATATGTGTAGTGGAATGATAGCTAGGTAGATACCTTACCTTATGGTATATATATTTCTTCTCTTCTCTTCTTGCAGCGCTCGGTCTCTCACGGATCATCTACCTTACCTTGCCTTACCGTACATCACTTAGCAACCTTGCACAGCCCAGCCCAGCTTAGCCTACTATAGTGTTGGAACCACACACCACACTAGCCCAAATAGGGATTAAGAGGAAGCCTTTCCAACCGAAAAGTAGGTTCAATTAATGTCTAAGGTCTGACCTCTTAAGAAGAGAAAAGAGGGGGGTAGGTATCCCTAACTCTATATATATATACTAAGGAATCAGTAGCCCCTGTTATCTTATATAACTTATATTATATAATACTAGGGTACCTATGTCCTTGTAAGAGTAGGGTGTATAGTAATGTATAGAGCGTCCTTCCTACCGCGTAGGGAAAGGAACAAACTAATTCTTGTCCTTCGGAAAGGAGAGAGCGGCGTCGTATAATATACCCCTACGCTAAGTATACGTAGGGGCTGCGCCGCGCGGGCGGTCGCCCGATAGCCGATCGCCTAACGACTCAGATCATACTGCTTCTACAGCCCGTCCTGCCTTAGGCTAACGTACCTTAGGCTTAAATACCTAACCGCCCCCTAGGGCTATATACCTCTAGGCCTAGCTGTTACAATTATCTCCTCTCCCTAATAGAGCTATCCCTAGCGACGTTTTCTACGTGTCGTATACAGAACGTATATAGAGCGTATACGGAGATGCTCGTACTCTATATAGAGGCTAGTCGTTATACTAGGAATCCTAGTAGTTACCCTAGGGCATTCTATATAGTAGAATGTAAGGAAGTCAATAGAACGTAGAATACGATAGAAGAAAGCCCGCCTAGCAATAGGTAGTAGCAACGAGTAAGTATATTTCGTCCTCTACGCTATGTCTTTTTCTTCGTTCCTTAGTTCTTCTCTAAACTATTTTTTTCTAGGAAAAACTTTAAGCTCTTCGTACTATCCTCGCAACCTATACGTACGAGACATGCCTCCGAAGCGCGCGATAGCCGCAAAGGCGCCCGAGAAACCCGTTCTAGAGCGCGATCCGCGTCGCGGTCGCGCTGCGACTAGAGCGTACAATATTTGCCTCCGCTGTATAGAGTATATATTCAAGGGTATGTCGATACCTGCGCGTTACGTACGCCTTACCTACGTTTCCTTACTAACCTAATCTAATAGTAGTAGATGCGAACGGCGTCGCCGAGCGCGCCTACAACGGCGTAATAGCTCCTGGCCGAAAGAAGAAGTACTAGAGGTACGCGAAAGGGCGCTACGTATGCGAACGCGTAGTAGACCTAGACCTACTTCGGCAGGCGCGCTACCTACGCGTCCTATACGCGGCGCTTCGTTCTTATATAGCCGGTATACGCTCGGTATAGGTAATACGGCGCTTGTAGCGGTTAGGGGGTAAAATTCTAGAGAGTAAGAAGGTGCTTGCCTCTAATAAGGGCAAGGCCGTCGGCGTCTACGAGACGCCGAAGAAGGGTAGTAGTAGTAGTAGTATAGCTAGCGCGCCGGCGTCGAGCGCCCTAGCCGTAGCTAACTACCTAGAGATAGCGAAAGCTACCTCGGCCCTTTAGGGCATTTTTGAGCTATAGTACGAGGTAAGTTCTGTCGCTTCGTACCCTACTCGCAGGCGTCGCTAACGTCTGTCGCAGATAGCTCGCTTAGCCGGCGCTGCCGGTGCTGCCTTAGATAGCGCGGTAGCGACCGCGTATCCCGACTACGGCAGTTAGGAGCCGTACCTATCGGACGGTAAGGCTAAGATAAGCCTGCCTAGCGACAGCGACGACACCGACGACGACGACGACGACGACGCCGGTAACGGTACCGGTAACGGTACCGGTAACGGTGCCGGTCCTACCGTTCCTCCTATTAGCCCTACTCCTGCTGCTCCCTCTTCTAGTACTACTAGTACCGGTAGTGCCGTAGGTGTCTAGCCCTCTCGTCGCGTTTAGTTAGCCTACGTTTCTAGTACGCTACGCGTAGGTTTTGGTGTTTTTGTTTTTTGTATACAGTGTTCCCGGCTTAGCCGGTTAAAAGCAAATTGATTCTTGATCTCTCTACCTACGTCTCGCTCGTACTATACTACTGCATTTCCGCTGCGCTTCGAACTCGTCGAGGGCGGCGTACTTACTAATATGCTCTTTAGGTTCCTATTAATCAAATTCCTCGGGCTAGCTACGCTAGCGTACTAAGTACTGTCGGATGCCCTTCCTTAGGCGCGTGTCTAAGATCTTTTCTACCTCGTAGAGCCCTTCCTTATCGGCGAGTAGGAGGGTTCCCTCCTGCGCGTTACCTACGCGGCCCTTATAGGGCTCGAGATATAAGACGTAGAAGACGTTATAGATCTATAACCCTGCTGGTAGGGCTAAGCGGTACGCCTGTTTTCCTACGATATCAATTACCTTAAATAGCCCTACGAACTTATCTGCGAACTTCTTTGTAGGCACCTTTAACCTTAGGTTTTTAGTAGATAGCAGTACTATGTCCCCTACTTTGAACCCTATTACGGTATGCTTCGCGTTGAAGTACTTCGCCTACGCTTCGCTAGTACGTTGCTAGCGCTTACTTAGGGTTTCGTAGTTCCGTTTCAGTCTCTCTATAGTGTCTACTACGGCCGGTACCTCCCTCTCCGCGAGCTCGCCCCGAGCGTTACGCGTACTTATCGCTAGCTCCGGGTTGAAACTATATAGCGCCTTAAATAGTAACATTTTTAGTATAGCGTAATCGCTGTTATTATACGCGAATTCAGCTTGCGTTAGTATACTAGCCTAATCGTCCTACTACTCTAAGCAGTAGATACGCAGGTACGTCTCGATTATCTAGTTCATCCGTTCGGTTTGACCGTCGGTTTGCGCGTAGAACGCTATACTAAGCCTACGTTTTACCTACGCCTTATAACAGAAGTCTAACTAGAACTAGCTCGTAAACACCGAGCCTCTATCGCTTACGATGCCTACGGGTATGCCGAATCGTCGTACGATTTCGTTTATTAGGATATCTACTAGATCTACGCTAGTGCATTTTTTCGTAGTTAGTACGAAGGTCACTATTTTGGTGTACCTATCGACGATTACGAGGATCGTATCGTAGACGCGGTCGCCGCGCTTGCTTGGCGGCAAGTCTGTAATAAAGTCCTAGGTCAATTCTTAGAACGGCCTTTCTAGTATAGGTAGCGCAGCCAGTTCGCCGTATAGACGGTAGCGTCGCGCTTTCGACTTTTGGCAGGCGTCGTAGGTAGCGACGTATTCTGCTACCTCAGTAGCTATCCCTAGCTACGAGTACTTTCTTCGGATTAAGGCCGTTGTCTTGTCCTTCCCGAAGTATCCTACTAACGGGTCGTTATAGTATATACGTATTAGCTGCGCTCTAAGGGCGTAGTCCTTAGGTATATACAGCGCGTCGCCTACCTACAAGTTGCCTTCCTAGGCGACGTAGTCCTCGAATACGCCCTAGTTGCTTATCGCCTACTCGTATACTACGCGTACGTTAGGTTCTGCCTAGACAAGCGTATAGGTATATATCAGAATTAGGTCGGAGACGTTCGCGTACGGTTGTTCGTCCTTTAATACTACTTAGGCGATACGGATAGGCGACGTGTAGTACTACTATAGGTTAGCGTTAGTACCTCTCTTAACGCCGTAGTACAAGCGATCGCCGGTAATACGGATACGTAATACCTTCGGACTGTCTGCTTCTAGCGTACGTCCGTCCTATAGCTATAACTTGGTTTGTAGGGTAGGGAGGAGGTTAGTTACCTTACGCGACTTACGTACGTAATCGCTACGTCGCGACGGACCGTCGGCTAGGTTTCGCTTGCCTGCCTAGTAGGTAATAGTAAAATCGAAAGCCGCTAGAAATGTCGCCTAACGGGCCTATCGTCCCGTAAGTTTCTTTACGCCTATGAATCCTCTTAGGTTAGCGTAGTCGACGAGCACCTTAACCGTATACTAGGCGCCTTCGCAGTATAGCCGCTAAGCTTTGAATAACTCGACTACTACTAATAATTCCGAGTCGTGTATCTCGTAGTTACATTCTACAGGAATTATCTTACGGGAGTAGAAGGCAATAGGGTACTACTTAGAGCCGAAGAGTTAGCTTAGGATACCTGCGATAGCAAACGCCGAGGCGTCGCTTTCGATATATAGCCGTAACGCCGGGTCAAAATGCCTCAACAGGGGTGCTTGTTAGAAACGCCGCTTAATCTCTTAAAACATATACTCCTCGGCTGCGCCCTACTAGATCGGTCCTAGCTTCCTGCCTTTTACGGCTCCCTTTGATAGTACCGTTAAGGGTACTACGATCCTCGAGTATTCGAAGATAAATCTACGATAAAAATTCGCAAATCCTAGAAAGGACTATACCTCCGTTAAGGTAGTCGGTGTTAGCTACGCTCCGATTGCGTCTACCCTACGAGGGTCTATCTTTACGCCGCCGGGGGTTACGACGAACCTAAGGTAGTCGACCTCCTTTATAAAGAACTTGCACTTTGCGCGCTGCGCGTAGAGTACGAATTTGCGGAGCCTCTCAAGCACTTCGCGTACGTCCTTTATATACTGCTCGCGTATCTTGCTATAGATAAGGATATCGTCGAGGTATACTACGCAGGTAATATCAACTAATCCTGCTAGAGCTCTGTTGATGTATGCCTAGAACGTTGCCGGGGCGTTAGTCAGACCGAAAGGCATAACCTTATACTAGAAGTAGCCGTAGCGCGTACGAAACGCAGTCTTCTAGCGGTCGCTTTCCTTGATCTTAATACGGTAGTAGGCATCGGCTAAGTCTAGGTACATAAACTACTCGGCTCCTATAAGCCTGTCTAGCGTTTCGCCTATAAGGGGTAGGGGATGCCGGTTTTTTACCGTAATTTCGTTTAGGCC